GAAAGCGGCACAGTCATCGTTCCGGGATCGGACGCATGAATTCCACAACATCACTGAGAGGTTGAAGAAGTCCGGATCAGGGCCCACTGGGCCCAGCAGTAGCAGTCATTCCAGATCGGAGGAACAGCGATCGGCGATCGCAAATCAATCGGATTTCAATAGAAGGGCTTCCAAAATTGGCTTCGGAATTCACCAAACGTCTCAGAAGTTAGCCAAGCTCGCCAAGTGTAAGCAAATGACGATACGTTTAGTTTAATTGAATTTAGGTTATAATCTTGTGATATGAAGTTATAATCCTGTTTTCATTGATTTTAGAACAAAATCATAGAATGTAAAATTACGAACTTATAAAGTTATAAGCCTATTTTTGTTGATTTTAGATTAAAATCATTGGATGCGTGAGGTCATGAAGTTATAAACCTACTTTAATTTATTTTACTATAGTATAATATGATATGAAGTTATTATGAACGTTTCTATTGTTTTGATTCGTAGTGGCGAAAAGGACTTCTGTTTTTGATGACCCTACCATGGAAATCCAAGAGCTTACTGGTGTTATTAAGCAGGATATCACTGCTTTAAACTCAGCGGTGGTGGATCTTCAGTTGCTGTGCAACTCTAGGAATGAGAGTGGAAATGTTTCTGTGGACACAACGAGCCATTCGAGCACCGTGGTGGATGACTTGAAGACGCGGTTGATGAGCGCCACCAAAGAGTTTAAGGATGTTCTCACCATGAGAACTGAGGTACTTTGTGGTGTTGGTGGTTTATTGTGTTTGTTTTTGTGGCTTAATGTCTAGCTACTAAGATCGTATTGTGTTTTGTTTTAAGAACATGAAAATGCACGAGAATAGAAGACAGTTGTTTTCTTCTTCTGCTTCTAAGGATTCAGCTAATCCTTTCATCCGGCAACGGCCCTTGGCTGCTAAGGCGGCAGCTAGTAGTTCTAATGCCCCTGCTGTTCCCTGGGCTAACGAGTCACCATCTTCATCTCAGGTGTTTCCCAAGTAAGTAAATTGTTTTTATTTGTATATTCTTTTAGTCTTGTAGTTAAGCATCTGGTTATTGTTCTCTTGACAATTTTTGTGTAATGCATGTAGACTAATTTGTGTGATGATTTTAATTGATGTTTTCTTATCACATGAATGTGTGTTATTATGTCTGATAATTATTGAGTGTATGATTTTTGTTGGAAGAAAGGAATTGGTGAATCTAAGTAAGACTAGTTGGCTTATTAATTAATATATAGTGTAAGTGTGGTTACAACTTACATGGATTTCATTATTTGTTTTCCTTGAGATGTTATTGAAGTCCAATTGAATTTTGCAGTTTTTTTTGCAACCACTTTAGCAATTTTAACTTCCAACTTGTGAACTTTGGCTATCCCTTTGATGCAATTGCATCAAACAAGCATAAGTTACATCGTATGGACTTCAATTGATTGTTTGGTTACAGTTATACTGGTTAAACAGTTTGGCCCTTTCAGACCTTTGGTGGCCTAAACTGACCCAAGAAAACTCAAGTACTTATAAATTTTGCCTGGCGAAGAGAATTTTGTTGGTAAAATAAGCCAGGCCAAAATATAAGTAGGAAAGCAAGCTTGCCATTTTAGCCATTTTCCGTTGTTGGCTTGGCTCAATTCAAGAGATGGGAGTTGAAGTGACACGTATACCCCAAAAGCAGTGGGATCTTGGTCCGAATCAAGAGCATGGTTACTGGGCATGATTTGCGGATCCTTTACATTTAATAATAAAAGCTTTTGCTATGCTCTAATGTTTTAAGGCTGTTTCAGGTTCGGTCAAGTTCTGGCAGGAATTCTGGCTTCTTCCCAAAACTTTTATACTTTTCTCATAGCTTTTAAATCTGTAGGAAGCGAATGGACACGGAGAGTCAACCATTGTTGCAGCAGCAGCAGCAGCAGCAGGATGTAGTTCCATTACAAGACAGCTACATGCAAAGCAGAACCGAAGCTCTTCAGAATGTTGAGTCCACTATTCATGAGCTTAGCAGCATTTTTAATCAGCTAGCGACGCTTGTTTCCCAACAAGGAGAGATTGCCATCAGGTATTTCATATGTCTCAATTGTGTCATGCCTTACTGTTTAAATTGCTTGTTTTGCTGCTTACTAAGTAGAGAAATAGCTTGCATAATAATTTATCTCCTATAAAGTACTAGCAAACTCAAGAGAGTAAAACATAGGTGGATTAGGTTATCTGTCTGCGGGAGATGATTGAGCTGTTTATTTCATGCTGACTCTAATGTTGGATGCCGTGCCATTTAAATTGCTTTCTACTACGCCCATGGTATCTTAGCGTTCCCAAGTCGAAGTGGAGAAGAAAGTCGTGTTAGGCTCTCATCAACGAACATAAAACTACTCTCTCTCTCTCTCTCTCTCTATACACACACATACACACACACACACACCTAACATAGATCCCTAATGAATTTTGTTTGTAAATTTGACCTTTAAACAAATGGCACCAGGTGATCTGTGTAGCTGATCTTACCTAGTAGGGTAAGATTTGTTTTGCCTTTTGTTGATGTTATGTCATGATAACTTTATGAACATTCAGATGCTCTTAGTTACTTAGAGGACTTAAATAATACGGTCTTCCTTCATTTCTTGAATTAATTATATATGAACTTGGACATTCCTCCTCCCTTGCCCCAAAGGGTCTGGTGACAATTAAAAATACTCTCACATCCTTGGTTGGTTGGTTTCGGGGAGGGGGCCTAATTAGTAATTACCAATGGAAGTTTATGTGTTCACTTTGTAGTTTCTTTTCTTGTCCCTCCTTGTTTATGACTTTTTTAAGAATTGTTTTTGGTTTCTTATTTAGTTGTTTATTTCTAGAGTATATTTTGGGATATCTTGGACGTTATTATGCATGGACATTGGAGTTGGACATTGTAGACTAATTAGTCTTTTCCAGATTTGCTTGTTTAATCTTAAACGGAGACTAGTTTCATGATATCAACTGGTGAAAGCACTAGAGGCAGTGACAGCTTAGTTTTTAATACACGTGCCTGCCAGTGCTGCTGGGATTTATCTGGTTACATAATTCAAGTTTTGAATACTTCTTTATCAATTTCTTAGTAATAGTATATGTGATTCCTGCTTAAAAGAAACAAACTAGATCAGCACCCGCTGTTTTGTATGGTAGAACAAAGTAAAAAGAGGGAGAGAGAAAGTAAAAACAGTAGGTGCAAAATCAAAAGAAACAGTGAATGGACAATGCACCATATAAGGACATATGGCAACGGTTGGACAAATTCTATGTTACTATAAATGATATACCAAAGTAGAAGGGAGAGAGAAAGTCATGGAACCATGTGTTCAAACTTGTGAATTTACCTGTAAAACATGTGTTAACTACATGTATACTTCGATTATTAACATGGTGAATTGACTTTTGCTTGATTTTTGTTTTTATATTGACCAATTGGGACATAGTGTGGTTAATAGACTTCATTAATATGCAGGATTGATGAAAACATGGATGATACATTGTCAAACGTAGAGGGAGCACAAGGGGCTTTGTTGAAATATCTGAACAGTATATCTTCTAATCGGTGGTTGATGATCAAAATTTTCTTTGTATTGATATTTTTCCTTATGGTTTTCTTATTTTTTGTGGCATAGACATTGGTATAGCAGAGAAATGAAAACAAACACACGAGTGGCAGCCTTCTGTATTTATTTAATAATTGATTTCATATTTATTTCTCCTAATATATATATATATATATATATATATATATATATAATCAAATTTGTTTCAAATATATTAAATTGTTATAATTTTATATTTTTATTTTTATATTTCTTCTAAAGTAGGATTTCTTAAATAAATTTGAATACTTTTTCTATTTTCAAATTTGTATGAATTTCAATTAAAAATTCTATATTTTTTATATTTTAAAATTTCTATTTTTCTAGTTTTAAAAATATTTAATAATTTTCTATTTTAAAATTTTAATAATTTTCAATTAAAAAAATTGATATTTTGTTATTTTTTAATTTTGTATTCTTCCATTTTTTTTTTCTAAACAGAATTTCTATATTTCCATAGTTTTAAATATATTTTTTATATTTTTTCCAAATAGAAATTTATATTATTTTAAATAAAAAATTAATTTACATTTACAATAAAAAGCTATAGTTGAAGAAATAAAATGCTGTGAGTCTAGTGATAATAAAGATGTGAAAGAGTAACAAAAATCAAGTAAGTAATCCAAATAATTGTGTATGATTTATTTATAACGAATGAGGTGTATATTTGATTTATTATTAAAACTTTGTATTTCATTTAAATTAAGGAATTGTTTAAAGTCAACAATTATTTGCAGTTTTTTTAATTCAAATACAACTATACTAGAAATAATTAAGGAAAACATGTCACATATATATTTCAATAACTAATAAAAAACAAGCAAAAAGATATAGACAGATCAGCCACATATTTCAATTGATTTTATAAGGTTGAAGGTCAAAAAGAGAAATATTTTAATAAATGAAAGAGGGAGTTTTGTGAAGGGAAATATGAAAGTTTTTCACTTGTTGACACTGAAGATTTTCCTATGGAGAAGAACCGGAGAGAGTGTTGATAAATTTTGATACTTCATTTTCATTTTTACATAGACACATTAACATGTTAGTTAATTTGTTAAGTGATCTGGTAAGAGTTTTTATAGTCATACAATTTTTAGCAACATTATAATGAAAAGTTAATCAATAAATATTATATATATAAATATAAACTTAGCAAAATGCAATTTTACATTATCTACCTATAAAACTTTATGATTAACATGACTTCTAACATAATTATTGAAAGAAGAGTTATTAAACTTATTTATTATATCTAAATTGTATTGTAATTGTCTTTTTCTTTTTTATATATTTCCCATCAATAAAAATAATTTATTATAAAACTAAAAATAAGTGCATTTTGCAAGTCTATTTCACGTGTTAAAATTAGAAAAGACGAAACAGTTAACAATAACACGAGATCCTATCCCGCGAGGTCAGGGTGAAATGTCCAAACAGAGCTACAGGTTTTGCTGTAACGCAACATTTTCATTTCTAAAACTCTCTACTGCATAACTCTCCCAATTGCTAATACGATCCGATTCCAATTAGATCTAGGGTTTATCTTTCTCTGTAGTTCGCCACCTCTCGCCGGAAACTATAACAGAATTTCCGGCGCCGGCTTCAAGGATCTTGCACTGGTGTCTGATACACTGGCAAAATGCACTCCAAATCGGCGCAGTCATCGTTTAGGGATCGGACGCTTGAATTTCATAGCATTGCGGAGAGGTTGAAGAAGTCGGGATCAGCGCCGAATGGACAAAGCAGCAATTCATCGAGATTGGAGGAGCAGCGATCTGCAATTACAAATCAATCAGAGTTCAACAGAAGAGCTTCCAAGATTGGCTTCGGGATTCACCAAACGTCTCAGAAGCTCGCCAAGCTTGCCAAGTGTAAGCAAATAAAAGCCTATTTTTAATTGATTTTAGAACCCTATGTTTTGATTTTAATTGCTCTGCAGTGGCTAAGAGGACCTCGGTTTTCGATGACCCTACCATGGAAATCCAAGAGCTTACGGGGGTAATTAAGCAAGATATCACTGCGTTAAACTCTGCGGTTGTGGATCTTCAATTGCTTTGCAACTCAAGGAACACGAGTGGGAACGCTTCCACCGACACCACTATGCATTCAACAACGGTGGTTGATGACCTCAAGACGCGGCTGATGGGCGCCACTAAAGAGTTTAAAGATGTTCTCACCATGCGAACTGAGGTACTGTGCTGTGTTTGCGTTGTCGTACTTCTCTGTGTTTTTTTTCTAATTGCGGACGACACTGATGCGATGCTGATGTTTTTGTGAAGAACTTGAAAGGGCACGAGAATAGAAGACAGCTGTTTTCGGCCTCTGGTTCTAAGGATTCTGCAAATCCTTTTGTCCGGCAACGGCCGTTGGCTACCAGATCGGCTGCTAGTAGTTCTAATGCCCCTGCTCCACCATGGGCTAGTGGATCATCTTCATCTCAGTTGTTTGCTAAGTAAGTTATGCTTCCTCACCTGTCCCTTTTTACTTGTGTTGCTTGTGCAATAGTATGTGGTAAAGTAAGGGGCATAACAAAGATAAAAACGTGCTAAAACGAAAAAAGTGTTTGATCTGAATTGAATAGATAAAAATTGTGCATGAGCGGATGGTGGGAAATGGCGGAAAGCCACCATATCATATTGCAGATAACATGAAAGCATCGCTGGCAAATAGCAGAATTTGCATAACTGTTGAACGAAATCAATCATATCTATAAAAAATTGTTGTATGCAAATAACAACAGGCTTCATAAAAATGGTACAATATTAACTCAGAATGTTCAATTGTTAAAGATATAATCATGACTGAAACATTAAAAAGAGTGGGGATCTGGGACTGGACGAGGGTGTAACATGTAGTTCTACTTCCTGGCCTCTAAGCCGCTGTGGCAGTTGAAACCACGGTACCCATTGTGGTTGCCTGAGCCGTTTTTTCAGATGCTGCGCAGTGGAATCGTGGATCAGTGCATTTCTGCAATGTCATAGTGATGCTACAGTAGCTATTAACACCACCGATAGGAAGACAAGAAATTTGTACTTGGTTGTGAAAACAGTCATGTTTACTTCAATTATGCAAGATAAAAGCAAATATAACAGAATGCAAAGCGTATAAAAAATTGAAACTTTTTAAACTATGGTTGACCTCACAAAATTGAATTGGTAAGATAAGATCTACATCTACTTATTATAACTTTGTGATATCTCTAATTGATATGAAATCTTTAACAAACCTCCTCACACTAAGACTAAACATCTCGAGTGTGGGAATAATAGGAGATCAGATAGTAGATGGCACATTAGGTCCAACAAACTTCATTAAGATAAACTTTGATAGCATCTTATAAAATAGGCTTTAATCCTAACTTAATCTCACAAAATCAACTTGAAATAAGGTTTACATCTACTTATATATTATAGTGTTATCAAATATTTAGTTGATGTGAGATCTTCAACGCAATTCAAATGACATTGATTGTATCGTCTCATTAGGAGCAATACCATTTGCCTGACAATCTTCTCTTATAATATATAATTAGGTATATCTAGACCATTACCCCCTCTCAACTATTGGATTCTATCATGAATCTCCCAAAGTATTAGTTGTAAGATTTTTTTTTTCATACCAATGTTCCGTACCTTCCAAATTCAATATCTCATAATTGAATGTCTGGAACAATTTTAAAAATATCTCCTAAATATGATAGTTTAATTTTCAATTCAAATACCCATAAGTAAAGCTAACTAGGGACCTTCATGCCAAAAGGTTTCTTGCTTGTTGTGCGAAAGTATGAGAGAGGATCATTGTATGCAACATTATCCTTGCAGATTCAAATTCAAACTTGTGACCAACTGATCACTAAGGTGCAACTTTTCCGTTGTGTTAGGGCTCACCCTCTTTAAGAGACCCATAACATAAAAACATGAGTGATTATATGAAATATAAAAGTTTTGTCCGCGATGCATAACATACTAGACATAAAGATAAATGAATATAGTAATCGCAAAAACTACAACATCTTTTCTCTTCTATTAGTATCTGCTCAGTAATATAAATAGAAACTTAACCACTTTATAACAAACAGGATAGTGATGAGAAACCTTGGAGACTTACACCACAAAAATTAGCAGTCTTAGTCAGTGAGCCTGAGCCCAAGGCCTTATAAACCCCATACCAGAATTCCATCCATTTGGATCCTAAGTACAAAACCTTTTCAATTAGAAGTTGAAATGTTAAGAATGGCCCACAAAAATGCTGAGCCTGGTTCTAGCTGAGAAGCGAGAACTACGGTTACAAGGCACAATTTGGACCCTTGTTTGAACAGTGGTCACTATTATTATGCTCCAATATCAAGGCTGTTTTTGGTCTTGATGAATCATATCTGAAACTATGATCTCACACAATTTTCTGGTGGGCCTTTTGAACCTGCAGAAAACAGGTTGATGGGGAGAGTCAACCGTTGCTGCAACAGCAGCAACAAGAGGTAGCCCCATTGCAAGATAGCTACATGCAAAGCAGAGCTGAAGCTCTTCAGAATGTTGAGTCCACTATTCACGAGCTTAGCAACATCTTTAATCAGCTAGCAACACTTGTTTCCCAACAGGGAGAAGTTGCCATCAGGTTTTTATATTTCTCACTCATGCATTGTATAGATGCATATTTATTGTCCTTTGTTGCTTTATTTAAATTGATATATTATATTGAAATTACAAGCTTACTTATTTATTTGTCCATTATGATCAAGTGAGCCTGTCTGTTATATTGACTTGACACTGATAAATTTGGCTTTTGACTTTTAACTTATAATATTCTTTGTAGCAAAGCATCACTTTGTTTTAAAGTATATTGGCTTTCAGATATATGTAGGAATGGATATTATAAACTAATTATTGTTTTTCCTTATTAAACCTGTAACGAGTTTTGTTATGATGATATGTTCTGGTGAAAGAGCTACAGGAAGTGAAAGCTTTGTTTTCATTTTTAGGACTGTTCCATCTTATGCTTGGATCTGTCTTTGATTGCATTCTCCTGATTTTGATGCTGCTGTTTTATTAAATTCTTAATCTATGTTTTTTTCTATTAAAGAAAAAATGATGAGCAGAAAAGTAGAAATGGGGAAAGTCCAGCAATCCATGTTGTCGAGCCTAAGGGGATGCTTGTTTTAAATTTGGGTAGAATTAATTTTGATAAAATGTATTCTGAATTGATAAATGTAGTTGGAATGTGTGTCCAAATTAATTTCAACTACAATTTTTTCTTTGAAATGCTTGTCTTATCACGTTGAGAGAAATTGATGAATTTCTGAAGAAGTTCTGGTAACTGGTTTTAACATGTAATTATATCTGTAAAACGTGCTAACTTATTCGCAAAAGTCCATGTTCAAACTCAAGGTAAAGTTTGTAAAATGTTGAGGATGATGAATATTTTCAATTTTTAAAATCTTGCTTAACTTTTTCACTTTTGGAGTTTATACTCGCTTTCTTTATAATTATGAAGATATTGCTAACTACTTTTTTTAATTTATTGATTTTGACTATGATATCAATTTTTCCCCAGTTAAATCTTTGTAATGAATTTTGGTGATAGATATCAGTCTATTATTATTAGTTCATCATGTCAATTCGCATGTCGGGGTGCTTAATGGGCTATTGCTCAACCTAACTCCAACTGCACCCTAGCCCCTAGGGTTTTAAATCGAACTCCACTAGAATTTAGAAAAATATTAGTAGAATCCGCACTATGCCATACCTGCCCCCTTAAATGGTTGAAGTCAGACAATTAAAATTAATCTACTCTCATAAAGTAATTTCTGTTTACTACTAGGGAACGTTTTGTAGAAGAAAAGTTTGTCTTATTCCGAAAATATAAATTGGGAAAAATATGTTTCGTATGTTTGGTTGACTTTTAAAAAGTAACATTCTTAACGAATGATATTTGGTCAAGTTTTCCATAAAACATTCTGAGGGAAGGAGGCGATATTCTAACTTTCCTAAGTTAAATCATGCATGGAAACAAGTTAAATATTTTAATAACACTACTCTTTAATTTCTATAAAAAAAATATAAATATTTTTGGCAATATTTTTGACAAACCAAATAAAATTTAGTCATTCCTAAGAATCATAATTTCCAGGATTCATGATTTCCAAGAATCATGATTCTTCTGGTGTATGGAAAAAATTCACCGGTATGAAATGTTCTCTTAACGCTGTTTCGTTTTGAAGAGAGAAATACAGGGAATAGAAATAAGTCGAGAGAAGAGAAATAGGTAAGAAACGGAATTGAATGTTTAGTTGTTTGGTAGAGAGCATAAATAAATGAGAGATAGAGATGCTTGTTTTTTAAAAGTTGTGTAATTTTATTTATTGGATAGGAAGTAAGGAGAGAGATAGAGATGGCTAGAAATAGTGGGTCGCACTATTTTTAAAAATTGTTTCTTCTTTATTCCTCCCCACCCTGTGGTTCTTTCTCCACTCAACCGAAGATAGCATTAGTGTTAAAGTAGTAAAGGTGAGTTAATATAATTGACCTTTAATATGTTGATACGGGCTATAGGAACCCTAAGTCCACACCTGACCTGTCCCATGGCAGAGAGGGTTTAAATTCACCAAACCCTCCCAATGCAGGTGGGGCAAATTGGGCACTCACGGGTCAGGGTTGGTTAGCCATTAACTAAGGTAGGGGTGTAAGACATGAGTGTGCCCTTCCGTGAGCTTTCTTGTTTTACGACCTTGCTACAATATTTTGAAACTATTCTAATTTGATGTGAACAATTGCATACGTTCTTTGATTGATGATAAGGTGAACCGACTTTTGCTTGTTTCTTGCTTTTATATGGAGACATTGGTGGGGTTGATAGAGGTACTTAATTTGCAGGATTGATGAAAACATGGATGATACATTGGCAAACGTAGAGGGGGCTCAAGGGGCTTTATTAAAGTATCTGAACAGCATATCTTCTAATAGGTGGCTGATGATCAAGATTTTCTTTGTATTGATATTTTTTCTTATGGTTTTCTTATTTTTTGTGGCATAGTAATCCCGATGACAGAGAAATGAAAACGAGGACACAAATGACGCCTTTCTTACTGGTGATAAGCGTTTTGTATTTCATTAATATTTCTTTCTCCAAATCTATATTCATTCCGGCAGATTTTAGCGTAGGACCAAGTTTGTCAAATGTTATACTTGTACGTATCGAGGTTGAGAACTTGGTGCATTGCATATTGTCGATTTATCTTTTTGTGAAGGATCGTGTTTTTATCACGGTAGATATCTTATTTTTATTTTATATTTATCTTTTAATTTTAGTTAATTTGATATTATTTTTTATTTATGTTTTGAGTTTAGTTTATATTTGTTTTATTATAAATAGAGGACCTATACAGAGAAGATTAATCTCATACTATTTAATATATATATATATATATATATAATAGAGACTTCATGTCACCGTGAGATCACAGCAAAGATGCTGTAAAATCAGCTTGTATAGCTATACGTAGAATAATAGAAAATAACATATCTTGCAATTTCTTTTACAAGTTAGCTTAAGTGGTGATGTCAAACTTTTCTCTTGGTTGTAAATTAATAGACATTTTGGATGGCTTAATGTACACTGTTAAAACTGTTTACACTTTCTTTGGACAAATATACCATAAATCCCATTCTAGTGTCAGCTGATACATGGACTCACCTGCTGAAACGGTTCCAAACACTACCATGAAAGTGTATAAAAGAGTTTAAATGAAGATTGTTTGGATTTAATTGAAGTAATTGTTTTTACCATATATTTTTTTTGTCAAATTGCTGTTTAAATGGAGTGATTCTAGTAATATAGGTGTCCTAATTTTATAAACTTATTTTTTGTATTAAACTCTAAAAACTTTTATAATTCTTTTTTTTATATTAAACTTGAATAACAGCATATACAATTAGAACAGTTGTCTCGTATAGTTTCAATTACTTTTTCAAAACTTTATAAAATAACTATATTATTTAAGATACTTTAATGAAAAGGGGTTATAAGATTCAAATTTTAAATTTGTGAATTTTTATATGATATTTGCAATAAAAATGTTGTAATAGATTTTTTTATATGTAAATAGAAAAGTATAAAGAAGTGAAAAGTGCGTATATAATGAAAATAAACTAAGTATTTAATTTGTTTTTTATTTTTTTTTGGCCTAATTTCTAATTTGGTTATTTAATTTTATTCGAATTTATAAAAAATCTAATTATTAATTTTCTTAATTTAGTTCTTTAGTTTTTAAAAAGAATTACATTTAGTCATTTTTTCAATTTGGTGTTTGTTGGTTTTTGCTTGATCATGAATGTGGTTAAAAAAGAATAAATTTAAGATTATGGAAAATTGAGAACAGAAATAACAAATGATTAGTTGAAAATCAAAAGATCAACAAACAGTCAAAAGAATCAAATTTCATGTCTTTAAAAAACTAAATGACTAAATGTAATGTTTTTAAAGAAATTAAATGATTTGATATTTTTAAAAACTATAGAACTAAATTGGAAAAATCAATAGCTAAACGTCTTTTTTTTAATTTAAATAAATCTGGAGAATCAAATTAGGATTTTTTTTAATGTTTCATAACTATTTTTCGTTATGGTGGATATTGTAATAATTAAATTTCTGAATTACATTAACTGTTTTTTTTTTATAATCATACAAATGTAATAGAGTGTATATTATTGTTAGTATTATGTAAAGGATATCAACAATACTAATTAATGATATTCAACTGCATGTTTTCCTCACAATATATTAACAACGTTATGATTATTTTTAATTTCCCTGAATTAAATACGTTAGTATATAATTTCACATATGTTTAAATTCCTCAAATTAAAAGAAGTTGATTTTAATCCCTGAAACTGCATAATTGTAGATCATAAATACTAAACTCGTTTTACTCCTTTAAACCTAATGGTTAGTAACTAAAAATTTGCTTTTCAATTTGAAGAAACAAAAATTATTTTTCTTTTAACTTTAAGGGCCAAAATCAAAATTATTCTAACTTTGAATGAATAAAAATATAATTAAACCTTAATAACATTACTGCTATTATTAATACAAAATTATCAATAACATTGTCGGTACTAATAATATATATAACTTTTTCAATACTAGTGTGTAAATTTGATGCTCATGATATATATATATATATATATATTAATATGATCTAAAATAGTGATAATATATAATGTAATCCATGTGAAATGTGTGTTATTTTTCTATCTTAATAAAAAATGATAAAATTATTATTATTATTATAATTATATAATTAAATAAATTTGTTTAATTTTATTGTAAATAACTTTTATTATTTTTGTAGGTAGTTATATAATTAAAAAAATAATTAAGTTTACAAGACATTCAAGTAAAAAAATATTAAATTTAAAGAAGCGACCACTTAAAAGTATAATTAATAAAATAATTATTTAATTTTAAAAATAAATTTATTTAAAGGATAACATTAAGAAACAAACATAAACATAAAATAGAAGAATTTTAGTTAAAAAAAAAATTCCCCATTCATAAAAAAAATACTTTAAACACATATGAATATTTTAATAATTTTTATTTATAAAAAGTTATTCAGATATCTTTAATCTTAAAACTTAGAATCCATAATATATGACAATATTTTTGTCAACTAAAATTTGGTACAGTAAACATAATATAGATAGGAAGATAAAATTATTTTTTTCTATTTTATTTTTAATAATATTTTTAAATCATAACATAAATTCACAATGAAAATACCAAAATTTAAAATGAAAAATATATAAAATTTGACATAATAAAAATAAAAATAAAAAAAAAAAATAAAAAAAAAAAAAAAATAGATAAAAAACAATTATTTATATTTTAAGTACATTAAGGGTACGTGTTTCAAATACTTTATTTTACATAATCAATTTTTTTTAATTACAATGTAACTTTAATATATTGTATAATAAATAATATGTTTAATTATTTTAGTGTTATACAATAAATAAAATTATATAAAATAAAATAATTACTTAACAAAGTTAAAAAGCTAAAGTAAGACAGTTTGAGTTATAAAGTGAGTCATGTAATTAAGGATTTCGTCTTATAACTTTTCTTTTATACGTTTTCTTAACGATTTTACCTTTATTTATATGTATTATTTTATTATTTAATCTTTTAAATTTATAATTTAATTGTCTATAATAAAATTATAAAAATTATTTGTTTTATTTATTATATTTTTAATAATTATGATAAAAATTAACTTCCGTTGTTATCATATTATAAAAAAGTAGATATATATACACGTAACCAAAATGTATTTCGATATAGAGAAGATTGGTTCTGTAACCACCTTACACTTATGAGTGTTTATTAGTCATCATTATATAATAATTATTTAGAAAAAAAAAAGTTTTCGTGTACATAATTTTTATTCTTTTAAAAGATTATTTTAAATTAACATAGTTATTTTATCAATTCTATTTAGTTTATTTAATTATTTTTTAAACTAAAATAATTATTTATTATTTTATTCCTTTTGAATGATTATTTATTTAAATTTAACAGTTTTCAAAATTAAGTTAGTTATTTACATTAAAAGAACATACATAATAATAACAATAATAATAATACATGTTAAAAAAACATATTGACCTAGGAGTAATTAACTGCTACTTATCTTATAAAGAAACATTTATTTCATCGAGTATCTTATTGATTCGTAAGTTTAAATAAAATAAATTTAAAAAGTCAAAATTCTATATGAAAAAAGTTACAAGTAATATTAAAAAATACAAAAGTAAAACAAAATTGAAAATAAAAAACCCTATAAAAGCTCCTTTCTGGAGCTTGTTCCCTTCATTTCGTTATCTTCTTGTATTGTTATAACCCTAGCTCGGAAGAAGAAGAAGAAGAACTCGCATTTTTCTTCGTCCTTTGTCTGCGTCTCACTCATCCTCTCTCTTTCTCTCTATATCTTTTCTTCTTCTCTCCAAACCCTAATCTCCCGATTTCAATTCTCACGGTCTTCGCCCACAGCCAGATCTCTAACTGGCACTCTCTTTTCATCGATTAAATAACAAAATTTGGCTAAATTTCATTTTCATATCCTAAGCAACTACTAACGTTTTCCGCTGATTTTAACATTCCAGAGAGAACTTAGTTTCTTCCGTTGCTATTTTTTTTTAATTTTTTGTTGTGATTAAGTTACTATTCTGATTTAAATCGACAAACGGAGTCTGAATTTGGAGCGCGTGAGGAAAATTACAGGTGTTAGGGAAATCGCGTGTTGCGTTGTTGAGGAGTGTTTGATCCGAGAAAGAAACAATGGTGGGAGGTGGAAGCCGGAGGGATGAGGGGTCGTTGGTGTTGAACAACACGAACGTGTTTGCGGCGCTGGATACTCTGAAGAAGAAGAAGAAGTCGGATAAGGAGAAGACGAAGAGCAAGGGCTCGTCGACCAAATCGCAGGGCCAGTCCACCAAAACGGAAGCCCAGGTGTTTTGGGCCCCTGCACCCTTGAACGCCAAATCTTGGGCCGATGTCGATGACGATGACGATTACTATGCCACCACAGCGCCGCCCCAATCGGGGTGGGGCATTTCTGAAACTCATCACAGCAAGGATGATAAACACGGGAATTTTGAGGTCCGATTATTTATTTATTGTTTTGTTTATTATTTATTTCACTGTGTGGTGTGGATGGATGGATGGATGGAAGCACATGTATCGGTTCTCTTGAATTCAATTGGTTGCCTTTGTTGTTACAGGATATACTGGTGTTTAGGTTGTGGATGGTATGGGGGTAGATCACATGCTGAATTTACAATGCGAAAATAGAGTCTGAAACATTTTGTTGTTATCACTAGAATTATTGTGCTAGTTAAATTCTATGTGAATTGAAGAGTTAGAAATCAAGTTTAGGATTTGGAAGCTATGACTAGCTTCCTAGTAAACGTGACAAATTACATCTGGGATGTGGAACCAAACATGTTATGTGTATAAAGGTTTTGTTATAATTATGCTTTATCATTGGGTAGAATACATGATTTGGTTCTTTGTGCAATTTAGTTTGTCCTGGATTACTTGTTTCATTTGTTGGAAAAATAGAGATTCTTTGAACTTTGGAATTTATTGCAGGGTTTTTTTTTTGAGGTCAATGTTAGCATGTAAGTATGCAGTGCTGTGTGTGTATATGTTTGCATTGTATTGTTTATGCATGAATGGATCTGGTCCAGATTTGGTGCTTTATAGTTGATAAGATTTCTGATTACAGGACAGTGAGAGTGAGGAAGATATTTTGGATGAAGGGGATGATGAGGTGGAGGAAGAGCATGATCATGAACAAGAAGAATCGGTGAAATCTGAACCTGAAGTTAAGAAGGATGCTGAAGCTTCTGCGCCTCCACCAAAGGAGGCAGAAAGACAGCTCTCTAAAAAAGAAAGGAAGAAGAAGGAACTTGCAGAGCTTGAGGCTCTTCTAGCTGATTTTGGAGTAGCACCAAAGCAAAGTAATGACGGTCAAGATGAGTCACAAGGTAAACGTGTATACTGCATGCCAAATGGTTTTCAAGATTATAGTTTGCGTTTTTTGTTTAAGCAATTTGCATTCACAGCCTTTTCTATTTAACTACAAAAAGACAACTTTTTATTCAAACCTCTTTAATATATATTTATTTATTTATCTGAGAAAAATAAATTTTATGTGCGTGTTACGATATAAGTACTGAAGGCTGCTTATTTTTTATGAATCTTGCTCAACTAAGATTTTCCGAAATCGCATTGGCAGGTGGTCCTCAGGATAAGAAAGGTGTTGAGACTGATGGAGATGGAGAAAAGAAGGAAACCAATGTAGAGTCCAAAACTTCCAAGAAGAAGAAGAAGAAGGATAAATCTTCCAAGGAAGTGAAAGAATCTCAAGATCAACCCAACAGTTCAGACACAAACAATGGGCCTGATTTGGCCTCGGGCACTGATAATGTGGAGGAGGATACATCTACCGTTGATGTGAAAGAGCGTCTTAAGAAAGTTGCTTCTACAAAGAAGAAGAAATCTAGTAAAGAAATGGATGGTGCTGCACGAGCTGCTGCTCAGGAGGCTGCTGCAAGGAGTGCAAGGCTTGCTGCTGCGAAGAAAAAAGAAAAGAACCATTATAACCAACAGCCTGTGCGGTAAAAGAACCCTGCTCCTTAACATCAATACAGGAATTTGTATTTCTTGTTCATATGATGATGCCGAATAAACTGTGGGCTCTAGGCTCTGGTGAGAGTGGTCATGACTCTAGTCGTATTCCAGTGGACCTGGGAAATTTTCATCTAGTTTTTTCTTTTGGGGGGAAATTAGTGTTGTTCAGTTGTTCTGGACTTGCTATTTTGGCACAGAAAATTTTAGCTTTAAATATTACTGAACTACATTGTTGTGTATTGTAGTTCTTGTATGTCCTTGTGTCTGATCAGTGGTGAATTAGTTATGACTGCGAAGTTTATCTTTTATTATATAGAAAGTGCTGTGTTGTTTTATAGAGGCTATTTAACCCCGTCAAATCGATCTAATTTGTTTAGGTCCTGTTTTGGGTTCAATAAGAATAGTAGTGGAGAATGTGTTGTCTTAGCCACCGATTAAACTGAGGTGTCAAAATTAGAATACAATGTAGTTGGTGCAAAAAGCTTGAAGGTTTGTACTCATTAGATGGTGATGCGTTGCATTAAGTTGTAAGCTAAGCTTGGGTGGAGTGATTTGATTTCTTTCGTCTAGGTAGGGTTCTCTTCCATTCAGGGCATTTGGATTTTATAATCCTAAAGTGTTTTCCCCATAAATACCATATCAGTAACAACTTGTACCAGAACAAGCTATTTAGACCTGTACTTAGTAATCAAGCTTGATTTCAACCAATTTATTTTACGTTTTACTTTGACTAAGGTTAATTTCAGATCTATGAACACATTAAAAAATAGTTTGATATATATTATGTAAATGATGTATCGTTGTATATCATAAGTTACTATAGTAAAATTCTAAACCTAGGATGTACTTTGACGAAATTAAATCCTCAATTAAATATATCACAAACAATTTAGCATTAATAGAAAATGAAGTACCAACTCGTGCATTACTCGTAAGTGATAATTTATTTCTATATTTTTATTGAATGAAATTGAAGTGAAATTAATGAGACGACAGACCCTTTTAGATACGAGTTTTCGGCTACCAATAACATGTTTTTCGGACTGAGGCGTGGTTCCTTTCCTCTAAATTTTCATACAAAAGAAAAACATTGTTAGATAATTTGCTTTATTGTACTTTTAAGAAGATAATATTCAAAACTTATATTTTCCATTGTTAAAGAAGACACCTTGAATACAAAAAAATGTTGAATTATGTAAAAAATTTGTTTTTATCGCAAAATCAAGTAATACCGTTTTTATTTTTACTATTCTACTTAATTAAACATCCTATGAATAAATATAAATAAACTTCATACTTATATGTTGTATTAGAAGAATACAAATCAAGGTCTGGTAGTTAAAATATATTTATATTTTATTGTGTTTGTTACAAGCTTTCAATAATTAATTTTCTACTATAAGAAACTACATATGAACAGGGAAACATTTAGAAAGATGAACAATCACTAGTATTAATCAAACCATCAATTTACAACAGTGTAATAAAAGCAATTAAAATTTTATTTATATGAATCACATTCTTTATTGTAATTCGTAGTTTGAAAATTTATTTTAGGAGATGAAATTCCATGACAAATATGAACTTGACTTCCAAATATAATAAAAACATTTACTGTCTAATAAAATAAATACATAAAATAACACGACTTTTAAAATATTTTAATTATACGAAGTTACGTACAATACATATATTCTAATTTATGGTTTTATTAATAATAAGATAAAAAACACGTATATTTCATTATTAAAATATACAAGTTTTCTCACGATTCAGTGTCTATAGTTTATCAAATTTATCGACATTGTGATTTAAATAATAACCTAGTGAAAACATAGATATTATAGCTTCTGTTTCTAGGCATTTTGTTTTTAGTTTTAAAAAATAATATAAACTATTATTAAATATTGCAATTAAAAAGTTATAAAAGTGTATATATATATATATATATAAGATATATATTTGAAAATATTTTTGTTTGTTAGTTCGATATAAGTGATACTGAAAAATAAAATTTGAATAAAATAATGCAGAAACATTATTTATATCCGTCTTGTACGTAGAATAAAATTTTATTTTAAAAATTTGTATACACAAATTGAGAAATTTTATTATATATTGGTACAAACCATAATCAATAATTAGATGTATACACATTTGACACATACATGATTAGATTTAGAATTAAAATATTTGAAAATATAATATTTCTTTATTTTTTTAATCTAAAATTCTTCCTCTTGCTTCTATAAAAGTGGTTGGAATTGTTAGTTTAGAATAACTTTTATTAACTCCGTTTATAGAAGTTTTTACACGTTTATATAAAATACAAAAATGTTAAGTTATTTAATTTGAAGCAAAATTTAAATAGTTTAAGTAAAACCTTAGATTTTAAATTTACCAGTACTACACAAACTATATGTTTTTCCCTTTGCCTTTATTTTAAATATAAGATATAAAATTTTAAACAAAAGGAAAACCTTTGATTCTTTCTACCTACTACTAGTATGAATTTTTTCGTAAACGACAGCGTTAAAGGCAGTTTCTTTCTTTTTCATTTGATTTCCCTCAAGACAAGCAACGTAATATTCTTAGTGTCTCCTTCGATTCTTGTTCCTTCTTCTTACCACCTTACTCTCACACACACACAACTTCATTGTAATGGTTCCAACTCCACAACCCACAATCAAGATCTCTCACTCATTTGAGCCGACAAAGCAAACCACATTGATTACTGTTCGCTTCACTTCTCAAGCTCCATGTTCCATTTGGCATGCGTGTTTGCTACTGAATCCTTAAAGGGGCAGAAAACAACAGCTTCTCTTGGTTTATGAAAGAAGGAGACAATGAACACTTCATTTTTCGGGATTAAGCTTCGTGTTTCTTGGGAAGGTAACAACACTATCAAAATGGTTTTCCCCAGAAGCAAGAGATGCACCGTGTCTGTGATACATGGTTGTTACCCATTGAGGCAAACTTTTAGATTTTGTGGACAAAATGTAGACTTGTTGAGGAAACACCATGTTTCCGCAAGTGGGTGGAGGTTTAGATGTTTCAAGGAAAAGGAGCCACCTTTTTCTTTTAGTGTGAGTTATTTCACATCATTGTGGAAAGAGGGGCTCTTTTTGGTGAGGGCCTCTGTATACACTGTTGTTATCTCTGGTTTGTTATTATTGGTTTGGTTTGGAAGGAACAAAGCCAAGGGTTTCGTTGAAGCTAATATCTTGCCCTCTGTTTGTTCAATGATCAGTGAGTGTATTCAGCATGATGTTTGCTTTGGCAAGGTTACAAAAATCTCGCCATTGAGTGTAACATTGGAGTCGTGTTCGTTTGGGCCACGTGAAGATGAATTCTCCTGTGGCGAGGCTCCCACTGTTAAAGTTCGTTTTCGCCCTCTTTCGAGTCTGTGGAGGGGGAATTTTGTGTTTGATGCAGTTTTGTCACATGCGTGTGTCATGGTGGTGCAGAAGAAGGACTATAGTTGGTTAGGGATACCGTTGTATCAAGAGGGCACTCAGAGGCGGTTGTCAACCGAAGAAGGACTTGATCACCGCACTCGGGTGAGGAGGGTTGCACGTGAGGAGGCGGCAGCAAAACATGTGAACGAAAGGGATGATGCAGCCAGGGATGCTGCAGAGATGGGTTACTTTGTTTCTGAGGAGAATTGTGGTCCATCCAAGGGTGATGATAATTTAAAGGAGATTGGAACTCATTCAGCAGAAGGAACAAACTCCAAGGGTTTTTTCTGCATGAAGGAGGGGGAACATCATGGTCATCGTTGTGTGGACACAGGTGTCGATTATGACATGAAACATGGTGATTTGGAGAAATCATTTAGGGTGAAGTTCCCCGGAAAAGGACTAAAGTTTTGGTCAAGAATCATTAAAGGGCATGAAAAGCAAAAATGTAAAAGAAAGGCTAAAAGGAGTGACATCAGTGCATCTGGTATTGCTCTTAGAAAAAGAATTCTTGAACGTGGTGCATTTGCAGCAAATGCATATTTTCGCAGTTCATATGGGAAGTTTGAGCAGCCTTCATCATCTTCTAGATTTTTTCGTTCTAGAGATCATGATTCGCAGTTGGTAAAAAGTGATGTTGACAAAAAAGCTGTATCTGTTGCCAGTACTGACGATAATAGAAACAACGATAACCAAAATGGAACACAACTCAGAGATCTGGGAATCTGGTCTCCTTCTGCAAATGAAAATACCAATGGTCATTCAAATGATTTAAAATTTTCCAGTGATCTTTCTTCAAAAACAAGTGAGAGTAAACACGAACTTTTACAATCTAGCAAGGATGTCTCAGAACATGCCAATGCAAATATTCGTACAGAGAAAAAGGAGGAGTTGGGACATCACGTTGCACAAAGTCCAATTGATGTTAGTGCAATTAAGGGCCAAAAAGGTTTGGTTTCAGTGAAGCAAATGTCTCAGTTGGCTACATATTTTGAAGTTCCGTTCAAGACTTTGATTAAAAATTTTGGCTTCACCTCTTGTTTAAAAAACATTGAGGGGTTGACATCTTTCTTCCTTTCTGGTCCCATTGAAAAGTTGAAATCTGAAATGGGTCTCAAAGTTGAAGATACTGTTTCAGAATATGTAGATAGGGTAGATGTTCAGCAGTCTGAAGGCCTAAATAAAATTCTTCCTGTTGCATTTGATTCTGTTCATGTTAGAGGTGCAACTGTCATGCTGCTTGCGTACGGGGACAGGGAAGTCAGGTGAGATCTATTATCACTTATTATGAAAATGAAATGATGAACACAACTGTTACTAACTTATAGTTTTAATATGATATAGGTGTTTAGAGAGGTCACGCTAATTAGTAGAAAGAGAGACATTGAGTTAAACTGTGTGTTCTTTGAGACAACACGAATGCTTTATTTATAGTGAGAAAAAAAATCAACATACTAAATAAATGAGATTTGGCATCCTTTTAATAGTAAAGATACGATATAGGAATAAATAAAAAAAGTTCCTAATAATACGTATATAATTTGGATATTCTTAATTATGTAGAATTTGCTCCTTTTTTCTATAATTATAATAGTGTTCCTTGTGCTGAAACATATAAGTTGTCAGTGGCTAACTTACTCCAAATATATCAATCCTTGGTCCTCTTAGAGACTTGGTGAATATGTAACCTTTCACTAGAGTTGATTTTAAGCTTGTGCCTGGGAGGTGAAGTCATAGTTGTAAATATTTAAGAGCTGGTTTAAAATTGGATGTGAAGTCTTATTTTGGATATTATGATCGACATTAATTTAATTGTTCTCTATGCTTTACATTCAGGGTGATAGAGAATGTCAATGGCCATACGAAGTTTAATAACCACTACAACTCTATAAATTTAAAACTTAGTGGAAATTGCAAGACTTGGAGATCAGATGATAAAAGTGAAGGTGATGGCTGGTTGTCAGTTGACGTTTTTGTTGACACTGTTGAGCAGAAATGGCATGCTAATTTGAAAACTGACCATCTTTTTGTCCCGGTAAGGTATATATATATATATATATATATATATATATATATATAGTTACTTTGAATTAATTTGTCATCTTCCTTAATTTCAATTAATTTGTACGGCTGGCATGTAGTTTATGTCTGGATCATGTTCTATGCAGCTCTTTGAAAGGATACTAGATATTCCAATTACATGGTCTAATGGGAGGGCCAGTGGTGAGGTGTTTCTCTAACCTAAGTTTAGATACTTTGAAATTTTATTTGGAAGTGTTGTAATGTTGATTTCAATTTCAGTTGTGATTAAATTCTAGTGTATTTGCTGAGTAATACTTGTTGCCGATTCTCAGTGCTGCTATAAACCTAAATCTGCCTCCTAAACTAGAATAATTTGTTTGAGTAAGACCTGAACAATGGCTTTGTTTGCTGTGCTTCTTTCCCTCCTTATTAGCTTTTATCAACAAAGTAAAACATAGTGCTTTCAACAACATATTTTGGTTTACCTAGATCCTGAAAGATATGTTCCTCTGCATTAGATTGGAACTATGATTTATCATTGGTGAGGCCAACTGAATCTTCAGTGTCCTTGGTTATTACTCTGGTCATATGGTTATCTAGAAAATAGCTTTCTTTTGGTTATAATCTCTTTCAAGTGTATTAAATATTTAATACTTAAAAGCTTAAGGAGTGTTTTATGCCCTTTTATAGCCTTCTCTAATCAAACATGCCTATATTGTGGGGGTCCTTTATAACTTTTTCCTGGATATGTGAATGGAAGGTGCTTCCCTTGTTAGCTTCACAGATTCAACTACATAGTTGATTATTATATATTGTATTTATGTTGTTTTATAAACACATCCATGTTATATCTTTTGGCTTAGGTTTTGAAAACTCAAGGATCTGATGTTATTACAAGTTCTTCATACTTTTGATTATTATCTTGGCAATGACAGGCTGCTGCTTGCTAATAACTGGATTTCACCTGCTTGATATATTGATTCCCTATATTTAGGTTCACTTGTGCATGTCAAAGGGTGAAGCTTTTCCAAATCTTTATGGACAGCTTGATGTAACGGGGTTGAACTTCCAAGTGTCAGATGCTCCATCTTGTTTTTCTGTATGACTTCCTCTCATCTACACAAGAATATCTTGTGAAATTCTTTTTTACCACTTGAAATTTCTTGTGGTATATTTTTTTATCCTTCGTTACATATTCGTTGTATTATATATTACTTAACAAAAGTATGCTTTATATCAAAGATGCACTTGAGAAAAATAAGGAGAGAGCAAATATATTTTAGAGATCTTATTCAATTTTCTCTTACATACTCATATTTATTTAGAAACTATACATTAATCTGTGATACAATGAAAGAGAGAAAAATGGTAAAGACACTTGTTGGACCCTTGGTACATTTATCTACAAGTGGGACCTTATGTACAATTCAACATTTTAATAAAGCCTATTCTAACACTGTTTCTCAAACTGGAGCACACAAATTTTATATACCAAGCATAAAACAAATAAGTTCAATTCAAGGCTCCCTCTAGGATTTTATTAACACTTTTGCAAGTTGATGATTGGAACAAAGAAAGGGAAGGGTGATAGGTTCTTGTGATCAAGAACCTATGGAAAAACACTCGAGAACACACAAAGACAATTTCTCTGAATTATACAGCCTCCTTTTATTGAAAAGAATCAACAAGAATGGTGATACAACGTAACCCGAGAGCTTAACCTCCCTCCAAAGAACTACAAGAGTTCCCGCCCAACAATAACACTCCAAAACTACTCTCAACCAACCACTAATCCCCCCTTTTATATCACTTACTAACAGCACTAACAGAAACTATTCCTAACTGCCTTGGCAGTTAGGCTCTGTGACTTTACCCCTCCTCCTATATACAATTAACTCCCTAACAAAGGNGTACAATTCAACATTTTAATAAAGCCTATTCTAACACTGTTTCTCAAACTGGAGCACACAAATTTTATATACCAAGCATAAAACAAATAAGTTCAATTCAAGGCTCCCTCTAGGATTTTATTAACACTTTTGCAAGTTGATGATTGGAACAAAGAAAGGGAAGGGTGATAGGTTCTTGTGATCAAGAACCTATGGAAAAACACTCGAGAACACACAAAGACAATTTCTCTGAATTATACAGCCTCCTTTTATTGAAAAGAATCAACAAGAATGGTGATACAACGTAACCCGAGAGCTTAACCTCCCTCCAAAGAACTACAAGAGTTCCCGCCCAACAATAACACTCCAAAACTACTCTCAACCAACCACTAATCCCCCCTTTTATATCACTTACTAACAGCACTAACAGAAACTATTCCTAACTGCCTTGGCAGTTAGGCTCTGTGACTTTACCCCTCCTCCTATATACAATTAACTCCCTAACAAAGGGAGTAAAGAGGTATTACCAAAAATATAACCATAAGCACCTAAGTCAACTATCCATGAACTTTGTCTTTACAAATATTGTAAAATGCAAGCTGTTGACCAACTATGGTTCGTGGATGATTGTGCTAGGTTGTTGGATTTTAACCTCAAATATTATTGATATTCCTCACTAGAAAACTTTGGTTCAACAATCTTAGATTTCAAGATATTGACTGTCTTCCGCAAAGCCATAGAAAGAGTAATAGTTTCTTCAGTATGACCCATTATTTTATAATGTTGAGGACGACTCCTACCACCACCATCAGGTCCTCATCTAATGACATGACCTCCTTTTCCACATGCAGATACCATAGCACAGGATTTAGCAAATTCTTGAAATTTTCTACCTTTGAGAGCTATAACACGAAGAATTCGTGTTCTTAAGCTTTCAATGGTTTAAAGTTCTTGACCTGTTAAGATATGATCCCTAATATAATCAAAATTTGGATTCAATGCATGAAGGATCGTGAACAACTTCCAAGAACATCTTCAATCCTTCAATACCAGATTAACCTTCAACAATAAAAGACATCATATCATGATCTATTTGTTTAAGGGATGCTAGCTTGTGTGCAAAATCACAGAGCCACTGAATGCCATTTGCAAAATTACTCTAAGCTTTTTTCCAAGAGGTTGTGTATGCTTTGATAATTGAGGGTTCCACAAATTTCCAGAATAGGGCACAAAGTTGAAAGTCCAACTTTTGTCATTATGCAGTATTTTCTTATGAGAACTCGCTAACATCTTTTTCCGAGTGATCATGAAACCAAAAGCCAAAAAACCAAAGTTCGATAGAGGTTGTCCAAGATAAATAATTTTTCCCATTAAGCTTTTCTAGTGTAATGGTTGAAGAACTTGAGAAACAGTGTGTTGCCCATAAGTCATTTATGATAAGAAAAGAGGGGGTAAAGCAGGAACTCTACAAAGAAAAAAGGGGAGTCAAACAATCAATCCGTGAGGAAGGGACAAATAGGGGCTGGAATGGGACATATAGAGGGGACAACGTATCCAGCTGTGCTGCACAATGTGATGGTTGGAAGATGGCACGTGGGCAAAGAGGCTGTGCATGGGAGCGTTTGAGTAATTTACATCTCGAGCGTGGGATTAGACATTTTTAATGTGTGGTCCGATAGGAGGTGGAACAATATGTCCAGGAAACAACAAATATCACTAGGATAGGCTCTAACCATGGCTCTGATATCATGTTAGAAGTGGACTTTAAGCTTAACTCAACACCACAAAACCGGTTTGTAAGATGAGGTTTGCACCCACTTATAAAGTATGAATTGGCATTATCTCTAGTCGTGTGGGACTTCCAACAGTTTTTGCCTTTGAGACCCATGGGTTTGGCTGTCCCCAAAGAGACTCTCCTGATTCGGTGGTCTTTGGAAGAAACTGTGGCAGTTTGAAAACAGTAGACAATAGCAGGCAGTGGTTGGATAACATTTTCTTTGCCGGAAAGACAGACAAGCAAAGTGGGATCAACTTGCTCCAATCCCAACTAAAAAGAGACTATTTTTTATAGAGCTTATCCAAGTCTCTCATAGGTTCTCATATTTATATAGAAATGGTAGATTCATTTGAGATACATTGAAAGATAGAAAGATTAGAAAACAAGCATCTCTGGGCCTAGGCACAACTCAAAACAACTTTTTGATAAAGTCTATTCTAATAGATGCCTAATGAGACTTTTATTTATTATATTCTATATGAATATTAGAAGTGTTGTTTACTTGTTAAATATGTGAAATTGTTGTACCAGAAACAATACTTTAGTTTTGGACAAACAACGATATTAATTGTGAAGACTGGGACGAAAATAACAACATTTGTATGGGTAATTGATCTATCTTATTTGATGTGATGCACTGAATGGATGTCTGAAATTATAATTTACATGGGATGAGGGGTCATGTTTGGTACAAACCCTAGCTGTGTAGGTTTATTTTAGTTTTTGTTTCTGCTAATGAGTAAATAGCCTGCTCCAATTCTTGGTGTGCGACTTTGTATTATCCTAAATGGTTTTAGTTGAAATTTGACATGGTATCAAAGCCTATAGTTAATCTTGGTAAATCATCTGTGGAGGGTTTTTTTTGGGAAGTCTAACGTGTCTGTCTCAATTCTTATAATGTGACATATCTGTTGAGCAACTTCATTCGATACCAATGGGTTTTAGATTAAATCTGACACATACTAGTAACTGTTGATGACTACTGGACCTTTGGTCTCGTATAAAGTGCTTAGGCATATTGATATTCAACAACTACATATTTCTGTTGCTGGCAAACTTTAAATTAAAAGATGTTTTCTTCTCTTGTTTATGTTCTTGCACTTGCAGAACACATCAGGAAGTTTATGTTTTCGTGGTCAAAGTATATTTCTACACAATACAAGTGGCTGGTTTGGCAGTATTCCTCTAGAAGCATCTGGAGATTTTGGCATCCATCCTGAGGAAGGAGAATTTCATCTTCTGTGTCAGGTACTCCCGTATGTGTGTGCTTGAGTTCATAATTATTTATTTATTGTTAGAAGATAGCATGGTTACTGATAGAGGGCTTGGTTTTATACTATGACTTGATCCTATCGGTAGTAATATAAATAACTGCATTAGGTTATTGGAAAATGTGAGTAAACTCTGATAACACATTACTAACTGTCATTCTTGCATTTTTCTAGTCTAAAATTTTAAAAGTTGACATGGTATCAAAGCACTAGTATTCACCTTGAAGATTATTTCTCCATTCTGCTGTATTAGGTTTCTAGAACGTAGTTGTATGTTCTCCTTGATGTTTTTGAATTTAGAAAAGAAAAATAAGAAAAAAATGTTGGACAGGAAAAATTACCGTATTTCTTACTTGTGGAACCCTTACAATGAGAGTAAATAAATTGAGATACTAGGCTGATTCTGTACACTGATTTGAACCTAAGAATCAAGTCAAAATGATTCTTGATAAAAATATTGTTCATATAAGAGGAGAGAAATTATAGCATATCCTGATTCTAGCTGCACCAGAAAATTGCCTGGTTCTGTTTGATTGCACAGTCATCTACGCTCTCCCTGTATTTTGGTGATAGATATATCTTAGGGGATTTCATCTTAGAATTTGGACTTAGGACCTATCTCAACCTTACAAAACCTGTTTGTAAGGTGAGAATTGCTAAAGGTATATAAGTTCTATTTAAGCAATATCTCTGGTCAACATGGGACTAAACCACCACCCTTGAGACTACTATTAAAGGATACCCCAAAGTCATTAGTACGGTGGCCTAGGAGTGACTGCAATTAAGACAACTTTCCAACACTTATATTGATGCAAATTGGGTTGAATTTCTTGTGGTAGGAGGTCCACCTCTTGGTAACTCTTTGGAGGAAATCCAAGTTCATTGTAAAGCAAGAACTAGCATGTGCTTACAAAGATCAAGTGCTGAAGCTAATCCTAAGCTATGACTCTCACTAAAGGTGAATTCATATGTTTGAAACAACTTTTAAAAGTTAAAATTGTGTTGTGAGAGTAAACCTATGAAGCCAATTTGTGACAATCAGACATTTCGTCTAACCCAATCTTCCATAAACAAACTGAACATGTAGGAATTCACTGTCACTTTTTTAATGAATACTTTTGGAGAACTTAGCACATACTTCGTCAGGTTCAAGTGGTCTGAGTGATACTGGACTCTATGCTATTAAGCATTGCCTTAGGTTTGAGTCTTATGGATGGAAAAAATGTGGTTAGGAAAAGTAATCCCACAGGTGGCCAGTCAGGTTTTCTGATAAAGTAGTCATTGACAAAGCTGGTAGATACTTCTTATTAATAATATAGTTATAAAAAATTATCAATTGGCTGATTTGTTCTCATGTGGGGGGGGGGGGGCCAAAAATATTTTATATCTGCACTAAGCTGGATGCTTTTGACTATGGGGAAGTGTTGGAATCATAGCTAACTCGATTACAATTAGATTTAGCTCGCTTTAATGCTTATGTTCATTGTAATCTAGGAAACTGAAATAGTTTAATTACCCTTTCTTGTGAACAGTATTCTGTATTAATTATTTCTGTGTAGGTGTATCATTGAACTGAGTATGAAGCGTGCACTCTATAATATTCACTCATAATCAGTCTTCTATTGTTTTTGTCTTCAACTATTCTCACCTCATTGAATTTGAGGAAAAAGTAACAGTTTTTTCATCTTCCCTGATACATTGTTGATCAATTTTCCAGGTTCCTAGTGTTGAAGTGAATGCACTGATGAGAACTTTCAATATGAGATCTCTCTTGTTTCCTGTACGTTTTCTTCAGTTTGATGCATTAACTTAGACATGTTCAAGTTTTCTAGTAGATTGATCATTTCCATTTCTATAATTTTTTTCTTTCTTTATATTGCAGATTTTAAATCTGAAAACAGTACCATTAAAGTTTTATGCAAGTTTGTCTTAAAGTCATTCATAAACTTAGTTCATTGCTTTCAATTTTTCTTTGTTAATATTTTTTAATTGTGGTCCAACTGTACCATTATTTCTTTATACTCACTATATTTCATAGCTAACACATGGCTTTTGATAAAATTTAGGTTAGATTTTCTAAAGACTTTTGTGAAGCAGTAGCTGTCTATGACTTCTCATAGAAGTTAAATAGAATTTCAAAATTTGAGACATAATATGCATGATGTCAATTTCCACTGTCTCCTAAAAAAGTAATTGATTAAATTTGGTCCCCAAAAGTGTCTCGTTCTTTTGTTTTAGTCCTTTGTAATTTAGTCTGAACCAGTTTAGTCTCAAAAGCTAGATCATAAGGTGTGAATTGCCTAAGCCTTTATAAGCTTTACTCTACAGGAAAAATGAGATCTCAACAAGCCCCTACTTGAAAACCTTATTGTTAGAGCGGTACAAAGAAATGATTGCGTGTTAATAATAAACTAAGAGGGGTGAATTGGTTTCTTTTCGAAAACGTGTGTTTTTTAAAATTTTCTCTCAAATTAATCTTACTTAGCAGATAATTAAACAAATAAAATAGAGCAAGGGAAGAGAGAAATTTGCACAAATAATTTTTATACTGGTTCGGATCAAAAAAATCCTACATCCAGTTGCCAATCTCTCAAAGAGATTAATGTTCCACTATCACAAAACCAATAAACCTTACAATCACACAAAAAAACATGTTTAAGGTTTAGAAAACATCTCTCTTAAGACCACAAGAGATGATACTCACTTCTCCTGAACACCACAAAGGATGAACACCTCTTCTGAATGCTTCACGAAGGATGACAAACTTCACTTAGCAACAACAACACTCAATCATACCTATAGTGAAAGTTCTCGCTCTTGCCCACACCAAGTTACCAAAATCCCTAGTTTCTTACTTCACTATCGTTCAGAATAGAGTTGTTGTATGTTTGAATGAGAATCTAAAACTTCTATATAAAGACTTCACTCAAAGACACCTTCAAAAATTCGTTGTCAGACTTTTCTCATTGTGATAATCGATTATCTCACCTAGGTAATTGATTATGCATTTAATTAAAGTGCAACGACCAAAAATGTACTAAAAAACTCCAACTGCTAGTCGTGATAATCGATTATTTTAAGTCATAGATTAGCCATAATCGATTATCAATTCCTGATAATCGATTATCCAGATGTCATGTGAGTTTTTAGCATTTTAACAAATTTGCTTCGTGATAATCGATTATCTCTTTAGTTAATAGATTATTGCAGAGCATTTTTGAATCGAAGGAGATTTTAAAACATAAGATACACGGAAACAAAAACTACTCTAAGTCCTACACAAAATTCTACTTATTACAAAACCTTTCCACACACAATAAAAGTCTTCGTATATCTTCTTGCATGTGTGAGTTCAAGACTGGATTTGGACATCATCAACACTTTAATGCTTCATCATTTTGCTAACACTTACAATTTGATCCATATATTTTTATAAAACTGATCCCATAATGCCGTTAGAGTATTCTTGGTGCAAGGACCAAAACAAAAAAGGTATGTGATGTGTAGGGACCAAAATATAGTGTTTCTTGCAAATATGAAACAAAACGGAGTGTTTTTTTTCTGTCTAGAGGTTAAAAGGAAAAATGGTGTTACGATGGACACCATATTTAACACTGTTACAATCTAAATGAACAATAGGAATTGATTCATACATGATTTTCCTTATGGGAACCAACATGTTAGGTTATATTGGGACTAAAAGAAATCTATGATGTGTGGAGATCAACTTTATAATTTAACCAAATTAAGTATTAGCTTATCCAATATCAATTCTTGTATTTCTAATTCTTTTAGGAGTGTTCGTGGGTTGGGATGGGTGCCATTTGGGCAAACCCACTACCGAACCCACTAAAAAGTATTTTGGGTTGGGTTTCTACATTTTTTATGTTAAACCCTATCCAACCCAACCCATTTTTTAGTGGGTTGGGTCCATTGGATTAAGATTTTGAAAAGTTTATTTTCTTTTGTTACAAGTTGTAATTTTCAAGTATCAACCTGATTAAAAAATAACACAATCTTCACAAAAATGAATTCAAGGCTTCGAGTAAGCCAATAAGTCAAGTTATAACAAGCTTATCCAAACTAATTCAAGACATGAAAAGAAAAACATAATGCAATTTGTCCATAACTTAAGTATAAGAGTGAGTCTCGAGTCACCCATACTAAACTCATTATCCAACCCGTATAAGATTAAGTTAGTTTTGGTTGGGTTGGGTTTGATCCAATCATAAATGAAACCCCTAACTTAATTTAATTGGATTGGATTGGGTCAGGCTGGGTCAGGCTGGGTCATCTGGTAACCCGAGCCAATGAACACCCCTAATTTTTTCATAATCAAAGTTTATTGATTGCAGCTTGCAGGATCAATGACTGCTCTATTTAATTGTCAAGGCCCTCTGGATACTCCTATATTTGTGGGAACTGGGATGCTTTCTAGGACATCCTCTTCTTTACATGTGGACACTCCTACAACTGAAGCATCTGAAGTACTTGCTAAAAGTATGGAGGCTGGAGCATTGGCAGTATTTGATCGTGTACCTTTTTCACATGTATCTGCCAATTTCACTTTCAACACTGATAACTGTGTAAGTTGAAAGTGATAATAATTTTGCACTGGGTGGTTTAGAGTTTTGACTCGTTGTTTAGGTTTGGTAACACTTCCACTGCATAGCACAGATTGCTGATTTGTATGGAATCAGGGCAAGCCTTGTGGATGGTGGTGAAATTCAAGGGGCTGGGACAGTGTGGATATGCTCAGAGGTATGTTACTACCTGTAAACTATTTAATAGCATTTTTTTTTCTTTTCTTAGCCATGAAGTAGCATGCTTTTATTTAGCAAATAGTCACCACTTTATTTTCCAGTTTCCTAGAATGTATAGATGTGTTACCATGTTAGTACAATGGTGGATCACCAACGTTTTACCCACTTTACGATGTTATATTTATTTTTTACTTATTTATGTTAGAGGGGACTTCTTGGAATTTCTCACATGAAAGGTATTCACAAATCAGGATACTAATAGGTTTCATTGATTGGCTAAAACAAAATTTCAGAATGCGTGTATCTTGTCCCATGTGTATGCCTCTGCACCAGTTTTCTGTACAGATTTCCCTCACCCTGCTAGTGTATACTATTTTGTTCTCAGGCTTTGGATGATGACACATCAATAGATGCAAACTTCTCAGGAAGTTTTAACCTTGAGAAAATTATGCTTCGCTATGTGCCCAGTTATCATCACTTGATGCCACTCAAATTTGGGGTTTTGAATGAAAACACAAAACTTTCAGGATCTCTTTTAAGACCGTAAGATTATTCCTTTATCAGCTTTGATTGATTAACATTTAGTAAAATTGTTGCTTATTTCATTGATATTATCAATGACTTCTCCATTTCTTTATTATCAATATTTCTTGTTCTTCAAGTTGGCCTGTCCCAACTTGTTAATACTGCTTTCCTTCTCAGTGAGTTGTTATATAATTTTTTTATTGCAGGAGGTTTGATATAAAATGGACTGCACCGACAGCAGAAGGGTCTCTTAATGATGCTAGAGGAGATATCATAATCTCCCATAATTTCATAACTGTTAATTTTGCTTCAGCTGCATTTGATTTGTATGTGAAAGTTCAAACTTCTTATTCTGATGATTGCTCTCTTAGAAGAGAAGAGTTTAATGCATCGAGAGCCATTCCATTTATTGTTGGTGGAGTTGATTTTGATTTGCACATGCATGGATTTGAATTCTTTAGTTTGGTTACTCCTTATATGTTGGATTTTCCAAGACCTTTGGCTTTGAAAGCAGCAGGAAGAGTCAAGTTTCAGGGAAACCTTTTAAAACCTAGTACCACTATTATTGAACAAAATTTTGACAAGAACAAGAAACATTTGTGTATGTTGGAGAAAGGAAATGCATATAGTCTTGTTGGTGAGGTTTCAATCTCTGGTCTCAAAGTTAATCAATTGATGCTTGCACCTCAGTTATCTGGGTCGTTGAGTGTTTCTCCCGAATATATAAAGGTGATGAATAAAAGTTTCTCCTCGTAAAAGTTGTTTCATTTTGAGATATTATGAACTTAACAAACTTCCTGGTATTATCAAATTGTAGTACAGTTCTGTTTTTTTGGGATGGGGAGAGGTGTGTTTACAAAATCATGGACTAGGGTTCTAGTAAAGAGATTTTAATTGAATAAATATGGGTGGGGATGGGGGATATAAGTTCTTAGTGAAGGGTTTTAAATTCATGAGCAGTTAATTGGCTAATGACTAATGTGTTGAAAGAGCTGTTAACAAGTAATTGCTTGTTGACTTAATGAAACAGTTGAATGGTTAACTGTTCCTTATTAGCAATATTTTACCACGATTCCTTTTTGAAATATCTATTGATCATTATGTTTGATATTTTGATGGATGAAATCTCGATATCTATTCCCATACAGTGAATATGTTTCAATTAACTCTCACTCTCCTGTCACAACCAAAATCGTTGAGGATGTTTGGTATATAAAGCCTGGTGATAAGCTTCCTGAACTTGATTTATATGCAAGTGTTAAGTTAATCTGTAGATTTTCGTTGGATCTTGCTTCTTTCGAAAATAAATTTAAAAGGTTGAAGTTGGACTTCAAGGTGAAACTCTTCCAGAGAATTATGCAGGCCCCACCTGCTTATGATTTTTGTCACTTGGTTAAGGAAAGTGATTGATATGAACATAGAGTTTTATGTCTAGGTCAACTCATCCACATATTGATGTGAATTATCTTAAATGGGATATTTCTCCTTTGTACAATTTATAATATAATTTATATTTGTATTTTATTTCAAAAGGATTTTTTCCTCCTCAGATATCCATATTTAAAAATATGTAGTTATTTAGTTAAAGGTATACATCTTTGTGTCTGTAAGTTTCAAATATCCTTATGAGAAACAATTTCAAATTGTCTGGCTTTATTCTACATGTATTAGTTTTTCTAACTTCCATTCTTTATTGGAGTGTAGTTGAATGCCTCTGGTAGGTCTGATGAAAGTCTTGTGGTGGATTTTGTTGGCCCGCTACAGCTTAGTGGTGAAAATGGTCTGAAAAGTGGAACAGTGTTGTCCGTTTCCCTTCATAAGGAACAATTGAGGGCTAATGTAGATTTTCGACCATGTTATTCAGCTAGCTTGGAGGTACCTATATTTAAATATTAGGTCAAATGATTGAATCTAGATATATTTGATTCTATGCTGGCATATTTTCAGGCATGCATTGAGCCCAAACGTTGATGTTGATTTTTTTTTTTTTTTTCGTTTTTCTTGTACTTTTAGGTATGTCATTTTCCACTTGATGAGCTGGAAATTGCTTCTCTCAGGGGAACTATACGTAGAGTAAGCCATAATATTACCTATTTGACTTCATAATTATTTATCATTCTTGTCTTTCCTAGACAGTCCTATGCATATTTTTATCATATGAAGTTGACCCAGTTTTCTCAGGGTATTATACGGTTTTCAGTGTTCTGCATGAGTTTTTCATGTGACTCAAGATCTTTTAAAGTAAATGCAAGAGGGCTTTGAGGACAATAAATGACTATTAGTAAGATACCCATCTCCAATGCTAGAAGATCAAGCATGAGTTATTTCTAGTTAATATCTCTAGCATACCTGCTAATGTAAATAAAGTCATTTGGGCTTAAAGGATTTACTCAAAACAGTAGGTTCTAATCAGTGTCATCGATCATCACCCAAAAAGCTCATATTATTTGGATCATCACCCAAAAAGCTCATATTATTTGGAGAAACTGTAATATTTTTATTAATAAGGAGGTATCATTGATGGAGGTAAAAGAAATGTACTTTTATTTAAGTATATAAAGGCATTACAAACTTATAATATTTGAAAATTGACATATACACCATAGTTTGTAAAATTAATTTTAAATTAAAATTCCTAAAAATAGGGAGTGTATCTAACATGGGGTATGTGGTGACTTTAAATTATTTTCTCCTGTTTACAATTAGAATAAAAAGCAAACTGGATTTTTGGAAAAGAAAAATGGACCTCAAATGAAGGAATCCCTTTCTATAGAGGTATGGGTATTTGATAGGTTCCTAATCAGAAACCTATGGAAAACACACTCCACGCACTCAAAACACATCGCCAAGAATGCTGTATAACCTCTTTGTTTTCAATCAAGAATACAAGTACAAAGAGCTTAACCTCCCCCTTCAGGACAAACAAGTTCCTGACAATCTGTTATTATCCAAAACCAATCCCCTCTACAATTAAACCCAAACCTATTTATACAAGTCCTTCCCAGCCTTTCCTAACTGCCAAGGCAGTTAGGCTAACTAATGTCTCTTCCTTCTCTCATAAACCAATAAACTCTTAACATTACCCCCCTCTGCTTCAGCAACCTTGTCCCCAAGGTTGAACTCAGGGTATTGATCCTGAATAGTCCCCACGTCTTCCCACGTAGCCCCATCTCTACCACCTTCTTGCCATTCCACCAAGACCTGCTGCACCATCTCTTCCCCCTGCTGCCTTTGCCTCTTCTCTAGAATTCTCACTGGCCAATAGGTGGGTCCCTCTGCTTGTAGCTCGGCAGGCAGCTCCTTTTCTATTCTCTTCTCCCCACCGCTTTCTTTAATTGGGATACATGAAAAACTAAACGTATCCTGGCTGTTTCTGGCAACTGTAAGCGATAAACAACCTTTCCAATTTGCTGAATCACCTGGAATGGTCCATAATATCGAGCTGCTAGCTTGGGATGTAACCGCACGGGCATAGAAGATTGTCTATGGGGTCTAATTTTCAAGTAGACCCAGTCTCCCACTTTAATATCCACTTCTCTCCTTTTGTTCGCCTGGTTAGCCATCAAATCCCGTGCCCGACGTAGATGGAATTTTAATTGTCTCAGAGCCTCGTCTCTCGTCATTAAGTCTTGAGCCACTGTTTCCACCACTGTCTCCCCTGGAACGAATCTACTCAAGGACAGTGGAGCCCGGCCATACACAATCTCGAACGAGGAGCACCTTGCCGCCCCCTGATAACTGGTATTGTACCAGTATTCAGCCCAAGGCAGCATCATCTTCCAGCTTTTGGGATGCTCTGAGCAGAAACATCTCAAATATCCTTCCTTTAATATCCACTTCTCTCCTTTTGTTCGCCTGGTTAGCCATCAAATCCTGTGCCCGACGTAGATGGAATTTTAATTGTCTCAGAGCCTCGTCTCTCGTCATTAAGTCTTGAGCCACTGTTTCCACCACTGTCTCCCCTGGAACGAATCTACTCAAGGACAGTGGAGCCCGGCCATACACAATCTCGAACGAGGAGCACCTTGCCGCCCCCTGATAACTGGTATTGTACCAGTATTCAGCCCAAGGCAGCATCATCTTCCAGCTTTTGGGATGCTCTGAGCAGAAACATCTCAAATATCCTTCCACAATGCGGTTCAAGACCTCTGTTTGACCATCAGTCTCAGGATGGTAGGCAGTGCTCATTTTAAGCTGGGTTCCTTGCATCTTAAAAAGTTATTTCCAAAACACACTTAGAAATAGGGGATCCCTGACACTAACAATTGACACAGGGATTCCGTGTAACCTGACTATTTCCTGGACGAAGACCTCTGCCACCGTTGTCGCTGAGTAGGGATGTTTCAGTGCTATGAAATGGCCGTACTTGCTCAATCTATCCACCACCACCAATATTGCGTCATAGCTATGAGATTTAGGCAATTTCACAATGAAATCTATACTCACCTCTTCCCACACTGCCTGAGGAATCGGCAGGGACTGTAATAAACCTTGGGGAGATGCAGCCATATATTTATGCTGCTGACATGTCACACACCCAGCCACAAACTCTGTTACAGTGTTCTTCATACCCACCCAGTAGAATAACTGCGCTATCCTTCTATAAGTTCGAAATACCCCTAAGTGTCCCCCTGTGCTTGTCACATGAAATTCCGCTAATAATTTGGGGATCCAGATAGATTTAGCCGAAAGCACCAACCTCCCTTTGTAGTGAAGCATGTCGTTCTCCAAAGTATATGATGCGTGGCAATTCGGGTCCCTCTTGATCTCATCAACTATTTTCTTTAGTGACTTATCCTCTTCTACTTCCTTCAATACTTCTTGGAAATCATTCCAATACGGTCTGGAGATAGCCTGCAATTCTAGTTCCTCAATACCTCCTTCCCCTTTTCTAGATAAGGCGTCAACAACCTTATTCGAGCTCCCTGTTTTGTATACAATGTCAAAGTCGTAACCCATGAGCTTGGCTATCCAGTTCTGCTGAGTGTGAGTCGTGATTCTCTGTTCCAACAGGTACTTCAGGCTACGTTGATCTGTATGCACCACAAACCTCCATCCAAGTAGATATGGCCTCCAATGTTGAATGGCCATTACCAAGGCCATGAGCTCTTTTTCATATATAGATTTACTTAATGATCCCTCTGACATAGCTTTGCTGAAAAATGCAATGGGTTTCCTATTCTGCATTAGCACAGCCCCCACACCAACCCCGGATGCGTCACATTCCACGTGAAATTCCTGATTGAAATCAGGAAGAGTCAAGACTGGTGCAGTGGTAATGGCTGTCTTGAGTGCTGCCATGGTCGTTCTAGCTGTTTCCGACCACACAAACTTCCCCTTTTTAAGCAATTCTGTTAAAGGCTTGGCCATCTTCCCATATCCCTGCACAAACCGCCGATAGTACCCTGTTAGGCCCAAAAAACCTCTCAAGGCCTTCAAATTTTTCGGTTCTTCCCACTCCAACACCGCCTTGATTTAATCCTTGTCCATCTCAACACCCCTTTCAGATATCAGGTGGCCTAGATATCCGATCTGCTGCTTTCCAAACTCACATTTGCTCTGGTTAGCTACCCATCTTTGCTGCTCCAATAACTATAGCACCGTTCCTAGCTGTTCTAAATGATCCTTCCACGTAGGACTGTATACTAGGATGTCATCAAAGAAGACAAGTACACATTTCCTAAGGAAGGGCTGCATCAAGTTATTCATTGCATTTTGGAAGGTGGCCGGCGCGTTAGTGAGTCCAAAGGGAATCACCAGAAATTCAAAGTGGCCTTGGTGTGTGCGGAACGCCGTCTTGGGGATATCTTCTTCTCCCATCCTTATTTGATGATATCCAGCCTTCAAGTCTATCTTGGAGAAGTATTTGGCGCCGTGTAGTTCATCTAGCAGCTCTTCTATCACGGGAATGGGGTATTTATCTGGGACAGTAGCCTTGTTCAGGGCTCTGTAGTCAACACAAAAGCGCCAGCTACGTTCTTCTTCTTCACCAATATCACCGGACTGGACTAGGGGCTCTTGCTTGGCCTGATGATCCCGGCTTTCAACATATCTGCCACTTGTTTTTCTATTTCCTCCTTCATAAGATGGGGGTATCTATAGGGCCGAACGTTGACGGGGTTCACTCCTTCCTTGAGGACAATGTGGTGCTCCATATCACGATGCGGGGGCAGGCTTTCTCTCTCCTGAAACACCCTATAGTGCGCCTGCAACACTGTCTTTAATTCAGCTTGCTGTTCCCCTGTCAAATCCCCAGTCCACTCACCACACCCCTCCTGCTCCACTAGGCCCAAATCCCACACTAGTACCCATGACTCAGCATCCACTAATTTCAACAAGGCCTTGGGTTCCACCAGTTGTCTGGAAAGCGCTGGATCACCCTTTACTGTCACCTTCTTACCCTTCAACATATATTCCATGGACATCTCCCCCCAGTTGAGCATAACCTTTCCAAGTTTCGCTAGCCATGCCACCCCTAAGATTACATCTACTCCCCCCAATTCGAACACGTACAATTCCTTCTCCACAGTGGCTTCCCCCAAATTTATTCGAATTTTCTTGCAACGTCCACGAGATATCCTCTTGTGACCATCCCCAAGGCTCACCGTGTATGGGTTTGTATCAGTTACTGCTAACTTCACTTCCTCCACCACCCTCCGACTAATATAGTTATGGCTGGCCCCACTGTCTATGAGGACCACCACTCTTCTTTCTCCAATTCTTCCTGTTAATTTCATGGTTCTGGGTGGTGTCAACCCCTCTGCTGAGCAAGCAGATAGTTCCATGGGCTTCGCATCCTGGTTCACGCCTTCTGTCCCTTCGTCCTCCTCGTCTTCCGCCAAGAGCAGCACTCACAAGCTCTTCTTCGAACAACGGTGACCTGGTGCAAAAGGACCCCCACACCGAAAACATCGACCTTCTGGATAAGGTAAATTTCTTACCATTCTCCCCCGATTGTCGCCTCCTTCGACGGTTCCACCTCTCATGCTATTCGCCGTCATCGGACCTTCTCTTCGGTTCGACCCACTCGCCTCCATTCCTCCTGAACGGTTCGCTGGTTGTCGCTCGACCTCTCCTCGAATGATGTTTGTCGAGGCTCGCGTACCCACTGGGTTCACCTTTAAGCCGTTCCAACCTCCTGCCCGCGCTCTGGATATTGCGTCTTCCACGTCCCGCGCGATCCTCACTGCAACCTCCAATTCTTGAGGATCTTGGATGCGGACTTGCCCCTTAATTTCTTCCCGTAGCCCAGCCAGGAAAAACCCTAACGCAAGTTCCTTCAATAAGCCTTGGGTCTGACCCAATAATATCTCGAAGCTCCTGGTGAATTCCTCCACCGACCCTTCTTGTCGCAGCGTCGCCAGCTGCTCGTACACAGTTCCTCGAAATCCCCCTCCGAAACGATTTATCAACGCCGCTTTTAAGCCAGACCAAGAACGGTTCTTGGCTTTGTCTTTCCAGATCTTAAACCAATAACTCGCACTACCTTCCATGTTAATGTAGGCGAGCTCTACCTTGTCTTCCTCCACCACTTTCTGTATATCGAAGAAGCGTTCCGCTCTGTTGATCCAGCTGTGTGGTTCTTGCCCTTCAAACCCCGGTAGGTCTACTCTTTTTCTCCAATTCTGTTGTATCCCCCCATTATCACGTCTCTTGTGATTATCGTTCACCGAACTATTACCCCCTTCAGAGTTCCCATCATGATTATTAGTTCCTCCACCCATTAGCCTCATCGATTGCTGCATGTCGTGTCGTATCGCAGCGGTCTCCGCCTTGATCCCTTCCACCGTGATCTCAAGATTCTCCAATTGTCTCTCCGTCTGGCTCCCCATCACTATCTCACGCCCCTCTTGATCCGGCAGGTCGGACCAAATGATAGGTTCCTAATCAGAAACCTATGGAAAACACACTCCACACACTCAAAACACACCGCCAAGAATGCTGTATAACCTCTTTGTATTTATCGTCAATCAAGAATACAAGTACAGAGAGCTTAACCTCCCCCTTCAGGACAAACAAATTCGTGACAATCTGTTATTATCCAAAACCAATCCCCTCTACAATTAAACCCAAACCTATTTATACAAGTCCCTCCCCACCTTTCCTAACTGCCAAGGCAGTTAGGCTAACTAATGTCTCTTCCTTCTCTCATAAACCAATAACCTCCTATCAGTATTTTTAAGATAAAACATAGTAAAGGTGCTCATAGACGAAATATGGATACATTGCATAAAATTTAGAGGAAAGTATTTCTAATATGCAACTTTGTCAATTTCTATCAGATTTGTTGTTTTTTTAACCTTTCGATCTCTCCCTTTTTCTGTTCATTCCTGCCTGAATAATTACATGGTCAAAGCATTATTTAATAATTAATGAAAATAATGTAGTACGTTTTAGCTAGTTGCCTTTTTTCTTTATTTCGGGGAAATATGCAACTTTTGACATTTTTATCTGATATGTTGCTACTTCATTTACCTCTTCACTTCTGCCTTTTTCTGTTCAGTCTTGCCTGAATGATGACTAGGTTGATGCGTTATTAATGGTCATGAAATAAAAGTAATGTGGTTTCTATCTGGTTGCCCTTTTCTTTTTCAGGCAGAAATCCAGCTAAATCTTCCAAAAAGAAGAGGACATGGAGTCATATCTGTACTTTGTCCAAAATTCGGTGGGGTGAACGGTGAAGCACTGGATGTGGCAGCTAGGTGGAGTGGAGATGTTGTGAGTTCCTAAGTTCATTCTCTTAGGTTGAGAAGTGAAAGCAGGCAATGTGACTGAATGCATAGTGTATTTTTATGTGGAGTGGGTAACAATTACAACAAAAATAATTGGCTAATTTCTATAATTCTTTGAATCCTCTAATTGTTTTGTTAACCAAAGATATCTATAATATGTGACACATTCTCTCAAGTTGAAGCATGTATAAATCATACGCATTGAGCTAGATAAAACATAATCAATTATAGTACCCCTCAAAGACTTAGTGAAGTCGTTTGCTGATTGACTATTGAAGTTGGCAAAATTAGTCATTTCATTTTGTCAAATTCAATTTTAATGTAGTAAGAATGGCATTAACTTGTGGTTATGTTGCACTAGTATCTGAACTGCACATTGTGCTTTTTTTTTACTGATTGTCACTTGATGTTCTATTGTTCAGATCACAATTGAAAAAACTGTTTTGAAACAAAGCTACAGTTATTATGAAATACAAGGAGAATATGTATTACCTGGCACTCGAGATTGCCCTGTTGACATAAAAGGAGATGGAATTTTAGAAAGGTTTTTGTCTGAGCATGTTGGTAGTGTTATATCTTCAATGGGTAGGTGGAGAATGAAACTTGAAGTTCCCAGAGCTGAGGTTGCTGAGATGCTTCCTCTTGCAAGGTTTCTATCTCGAAGTATGGATCCTGCTGTTCTTTCAAGATCAAAGGTTGTATATTATGCTTTATAATATATGTCATTAATTGACAGATTCTAAGTCAGTTGATTTAGATACTTTGCTTCTGATTCAATCTTTGTAACATGTAACTTGGTTAATTCAGGAGTCAAGCTGCATGGTTTATTTGTTACTCTTGAAAACCATAGATTACAAAATATTCACATATAAAGGTTTCAAGTTGATTAGAATATACTTTGGCTTCTCTGCTTCACCGGCCCTAACCCACACCAAAAACATTATTTTTCCAGAAAATTGGTAGATATAAAGCTAGAGGAATCCAAATTCAATTTTAGGTTCTTCATGTTGTTGACTTGTTTGTTTATCTTGTGGATTGAATTCAAATCAAGCTCGAGTTTGTCAGTGGTATCTAATTTTTTCTTGTTGAAAAATTTTAAGTCCTTTGAACTTTTTTCCTTGACCTGATAACAAAATATCTCTATTGATTAAAAAATGAATGTTGTTGAAAGGAGTAGTGACAAAATAGGTGACAATTGTACCATTTTGGTGCCATGTTCAGAAGGGAGAAACTGAGGAGTGTAATGAAGGGATACACACATGTATGTTCTAATTTATCATGAAGGGAGACAATAATAAGGAACAATCAATATGTATTTATGAGAAATATTTGGTTAGATATTTCTCTATCAAATCATATCATATCGTATACCTATTTAATGTAATCAAATCATCTCTTACACTCCACTCCCCTTNCCTTGGTGTGTGCGGAACGCCGTCTTGGGGATATCTTCTTCTCCCATCCTTATTTGATGATATCCAGCCTTCAAGTCTATCTTGGAGAAGTATTTGGCGCCGTGTAGTTCATCTAGCAGCTCTTCTATCACGGGAATGGGGTATTTATCTGGGACAGTAGCCTTGTTCAGGGCTCTGTAGTCAACACAAAAGCGCCAGCTACGTTCTTCTTCTTCACCAATATCACCGGACTGGACTAGGGGCTCTTGCTTGGCCTGATGATCCCGGCTTTCAACATATCTGCCACTTGTTTTTCTATTTCCTCCTTCATAAGATGGGGGTATCTATAGGGCCGAACGTTGACGGGGTTCACTCCTTCCTTGAGGACAATGTGGTGCTCCATATCACGATGCGGGGGCAGGCTTTCTCTCTCCTGAAACACCCTATAGTGCGCCTGCAACACTGTCTTTAATTCAGCTTGCTGTTCCCCTGTCAAATCCCCAGTCCACTCACCACACCCCTCCTGCTCCACTAGGCCCAAATCCCACACTAGTACCCATGACTCAGCATCCACTAATTTCAACAAGGCCTTGGGTTCCACCAGTTGTCTGGAAAGCGCTGGATCACCCTTTACTGTCACCTTCTTACCCTTCAACATATATTCCATGGACATCTCCCCCCAGTTGAGCATAACCTTTCCAAGTTTCGCTAGCCATGCCACCCCTAAGATTACATCTACTCCCCCCAATTCGAACACGTACAATTCCTTCTCCACAGTGGCTTCCCCCAAATTTATTCGAATTTTCTTGCAACGTCCACGAGATATCCTCTTGTGACCATCCCCAAGGCTCACCGTGTATGGGTTTGTATCAGTTACTGCTAACTTCACTTCCTCCACCACCCTCCGACTAATATAGTTATGGCTGGCCCCACTGTCTATGAGGACCACCACTCTTCTTTCTCCAATTCTTCCTGTTAATTTCATGGTTCTGGGTGGTGTCAACCCCTCTGCTGAGCAAGCAGATAGTTCCATGGGCTTCGCATCCTGGTTCACGCCTTCTGTCCCTTCGTCCTCCTCGTCTTCCGCCAAGAGCAGCACTCACAAGCTCTTCTTCGAACAACGGTGACCTGGTGCAAAAGGACCCCCACACCGAAAACATCGACCTTCTGGATAAGGTAAATTTCTTACCATTCTCCCCCGATTGTCGCCTCCTTCGACGGTTCCACCTCTCATGCTATTCGCCGTCATCGGACCTTCTCTTCGGTTCGACCCACTCGCCTCCATTCCTCCTGAAAGGTTCGCTGGTTGTCGCTCGACCTCTCCTCGAATGATGATTGTCGAGGCTCGCGTACCCACTGGGTTCACCTTTAAGCCGTTCCAACCTCCTGCCCGCGCTCTGGATATTGCGTCTTCCACGTCCCGCGCGATCCTCACTGCAACCTCCAATTCTTGAGGATCTTGGATGCGGACTTGCCCCTTAATTTCTTCCCGTAGCCCAGCCAGGAAAAACCCTAACGCAAGTTCCTTCAATAAGCCTTGGGTCTGACCCAATAATATCTCGAAGCTCCTGGTGAATTCCTCCACCGACCCTTCTTGTCGCAGCGTCGCCAGCTGCTCGTACACAGTTCCTCGAAATCCCCCTCCGAAACGATTTATCAACGCCGCTTTTAAGCCAGACCAAGAACGGTTCTTGGCTTTGTCTTTCCAGATCTTAAACCAATAACTCGCACTACCTTCCATGTTAATGTAGGCGAGCTCTACCTTGTCTTCCTCCACCACTTTCTGTATATCGAAGAAGCGTTCCGCTCTGTTGATCCAGCTGTGTGGTTCTTGCCCTTCAAACCCCGGTAGGTCTACTCTTTTTCTCCAATTCTGTTGTATCCCCCCATTATCACGTCTCTTGTGATTATCGTTCACCGAACTATTACCCCCTTCAGAGTTCCCATCATGATTATTAGTTCCTCCACCCATTAGCCTCATCGATTGCTGCATGTCGTGTCGTATCGCAGCGGTCTCCGCCTTGATCCCTTCCACCGTGATCTCAAGATTCTCCAATTGTCTCTCCGTCTGGCTCCCCATCACTATCTCACGCCCCTCTTGATCCGGCAGGTCGGACCAAATGATAGGTTCCTAATCAGAAACCTATGGAAAACACACTCCACACACTCAAAACACACCGCCAAGAATGCTGTATAACCTCTTTGTATTTATCGTCAATCAAGAATACAAGTACAGAGAGCTTAACCTCCCCCTTCAGGACAAACAAATTCGTGACAATCTGTTATTATCCAAAACCAATCCCCTCTACAATTAAACCCAAACCTATTTATACAAGTCCCTCCCCACCTTTCCTAACTGCCAAGGCAGTTAGGCTAACTAATGTCTCTTCCTTCTCTCATAAACCAATAACCTCCTATCAGTATTTTTAAGATAAAACATAGTAAAGGTGCTCATAGACGAAATATGGATACATTGCATAAAATTTAGAGGAAAGTATTTCTAATATGCAACTTTGTCAATTTCTATCAGATTTGTTGTTTTTTTAACCTTTCGATCTCTCCCTTTTTCTGTTCATTCCTGCCTGAATAATTACATGGTCAAAGCATTATTTAATAATTAATGAAAATAATGTAGTACGTTTTAGCTAGTTGCCTTTTTTCTTTATTTCGGGGAAATATGCAACTTTTGACATTTTTATCTGATATGTTGCTACTTCATTTACCTCTTCACTTCTGCCTTTTTCTGTTCAGTCTTGCCTGAATGATGACTAGGTTGATGCGTTATTAATGGTCATGAAATAAAAGTAATGTGGTTTCTATCTGGTTGCCCTTTTCTTTTTCAGGCAGAAATCCAGCTAAATCTTCCAAAAAGAAGAGGACATGGAGTCATATCTGTACTTTGTCCAAAATTCGGTGGGGTGAACGGTGAAGCACTGGATGTGGCAGCTAGGTGGAGTGGAGATGTTGTGAGTTCCTAAGTTCATTCTCTTAGGTTGAGAAGTGAAAGCAGGCAATGTGACTGAATGCATAGTGTATTTTTATGTGGAGTGGGTAACAATTACAACAAAAATAATTGGCTAATTTCTATAATTCTTTGAATCCTCTAATTGTTTTGTTAACCAAAGATATCTATAATATGTGACACATTCTCTCAAGTTGAAGCATGTATAAATCATACGCATTGAGCTAGATAAAACATAATCAATTATAGTACCCCTCAAAGACTTAGTGAAGTCGTTTGCTGATTGACTATTGAAGTTGGCAAAATTAGTCATTTCATTTTGTCAAATTCAATTTTAATGTAGTAAGAATGGCATTAACTTGTGGTTATGTTGCACTAGTATCTGAACTGCACATTGTGCTTTTTTTTTACTGATTGTCACTTGATGTTCTATTGTTCAGATCACAATTGAAAAAACTGTTTTGAAACAAAGCTACAGTTATTATGAAATACAAGGAGAATATGTATTACCTGGCACTCGAGATTGCCCTGTTGACATAAAAGGAGATGGAATTTTAGAAAGGTTTTTGTCTGAGCATGTTGGTAGTGTTATATCTTCAATGGGTAGGTGGAGAATGAAACTTGAAGTTCCCAGAGCTGAGGTTGCTGAGATGCTTCCTCTTGCAAGGTTTCTATCTCGAAGTATGGATCCTGCTGTTCTTTCAAGATCAAAGGTTGTATATTATGCTTTATAATATATGTCATTAATTGACAGATTCTAAGTCAGTTGATTTAGATACTTTGCTTCTGATTCAATCTTTGTAACATGTAACTTGGTTAATTCAGGAGTCAAGCTGCATGGTTTATTTGTTACTCTTGAAAACCATAGATTACAAAATATTCACATATAAAGGTTTCAAGTTGATTAGAATATACTTTGGCTTCTCTGCTTCACCGGCCCTAACCCACACCAAAAACATTATTTTTCCAGAAAATTGGTAGATATAAAGCTAGAGGAATCCAAATTCAATTTTAGGTTCTTCATGTTGTTGACTTGTTTGTTTATCTTGTGGATTGAATTCAAATCAAGCTCGAGTTTGTCAGTGGTATCTAATTTTTTCTTGTTGAAAAATTTTAAGTCCTTTGAACTTTTTTCCTTGACCTGATAACAAAATATCTCTATTGATTAAAAAATGAATGTTGTTGAAAGGAGTAGTGACAAAATAGGTGACAATTGTACCATTTTGGTGCCATGTTCAGAAGGGAGAAACTGAGGAGTGTAATGAAGGGATACACACATGTATGTTCTAATTTATCATGAAGGGAGACAATAATAAGGAACAATCAATATGTATTTATGAGAAATATTTGGTTAGATATTTCTCTATCAAATCATATCATATCGTATACCTATTTAATGTAATCAAATCATCTCTTACACTCCACTCCCCTTGAGCCAAAGCATAGATTTGTTTCAAATGTCATCAACACAAAGTGGTTTGCGTCTAACAAGTGCAAACCTCATCATATATATGACAATTTTGTAAGGTTAAATTAGACTTAAACTACTTTAGTCAATGTGGAACTTGGGTTAGTGGGGTTAGTTCAGTTCCATCCATATTTAAGAAGTTATTTGATATGACATTTTTAAATCGGATAAAATTTTGGAGAAGTTATTGAAAAACAAAAAGAAACTTGTTCTAAATAGTTTTACTGAAAATTTAATTTTTGATAACCATTAGCATTAAGTATGCCATGTAGCCAACCCAGTTGAGTGGTGTAAGGCGTGGCTATTATTGTTGTTACTGATGCAGTAATGTTGCTAGGACTTTCTTTTCAGTGAGTATTGTAAGTAGTTGAACCCGTTCAGTTAGGATACCAATTCATTGTTGCAATATTGTATTGCTGAAACCTTTGTATGTGAAGTACTGGTTTTTGGAGGTTTAGTGTCATCATATTGTTATTAATTTCAAGAACTAGATGATGGAAGCCAAAATTAAATCTATTTACTTTACTGGACTTTAAGAAAGTAAACCCAAAAGTAAGAAAATGCATACCTAATTCAACTTAGTCATCAAGAATACACTATAGGATTGAAGAACCCCGAGTATATAAGTACTATATCACTATGCTTCTGTTTCTAATCAGCCTCTGTTTTGTTATAATTGTAAATTAGTAGAGCACTCAGGTTCAATAACATATTTGAACTACGTTTTTTCCCTGTAATTGTATGTTATATATATTTTCAGGTATGCATCTGCTGAACACTTTAATGATTGTCAGTCACCCATTACATATCTAGACTTTGTGAAAGATTATATTTTATTGCTTGTCATCTCAAAACCTGCTGTCCATACTGTATACTTATATTTTAAGAAATAGAATTCTGATTGTGCATGTTACAATGTCCCTTGTAGGATCTTTTTATTCAAAGTTTACAGTCAACAGGATTATATTCTATGAGCACACAAGAACTGCTTGAGGTATCATCGAACAATCATTATGTTGTATTTTATTTTCAAAGGGCACAATGCTTCATGCATCCAAGTTTGTATTCCCAACATGAAGGGCACATGTAATGTTTATTTATTGAGGACAGAACTTAGATGTACTTCTTCAGGTGCTTTTGGAGCTATTTTTCAATCCAAATTTGGGTTTTACCTCGGTAATCTATGTATTAAAAGTTTGGAACAAACTTCAATATAAATTACTGAGATAAAACGCCAATTCTAGTTAAAGAATAACACCAAAAGCTCCTAAATTGTATCTAAGTTTTGTACATATTGATTCATAATATTCATGATCCAAATGGCTTTCACTGCAAAATTTGATTTTTTTTTTGTCATTAATGACATTTAACTTGCAGTTAATAAGGGAGCTTCATGTTCCGTTGAATGATGTTGTTGAGCATTTCAGCCTTCCTGGTTTACTTGACCTCAAAGGTTGCTGGCATGGTTCCCTCAATGCCAGTGGTGGAGGGAATGGAGACACCCTTGTAAAAATTTATTTGTTTTTGCATATTGGGAGTTTTGCAAAATCTTCTACTTTTTGAAGATTGCCTTTCTATTCCATTTCAGGCAGAATTTGACTTTCATGGTGAGGATTGGGAGTGGGGAGAATACAGAACTCAGAGTGTCTCAGCAGTTGGTATTTATAGTAACGATGATGGTATACACCTGAAGAAATTTTTTGTCCAGAAGGATAATNTCTTTGTATTTATCGTCAATCAAGAATACAAGTACAGAGAGCTTAACCTCCCCCTTCAGGACAAACAAATTCGTGACAATCTGTTATTATCCAAAACCAATCCCCTCTACAATTAAACCCAAACCTATTTATACAAGTCCCTCCCCACCTTTCCTAACTGCCAAGGCAGTTAGGCTAACTAATGTCTCTTCCTTCTCTCATAAACCAATAACCTCCTATCAGTATTTTTAAGATAAAACATAGTAAAGGTGCTCATAGACGAAATATGGATACATTGCATAAAATTTAGAGGAAAGTATTTCTAATATGCAACTTTGTCAATTTCTATCAGATTTGTTGTTTTTTTAACCTTTCGATCTCTCCCTTTTTCTGTTCATTCCTGCCTGAATAATTACATGGTCAAAGCATTATTTAATAATTAATGAAAATAATGTAGTACGTTTTAGCTAGTTGCCTTTTTTCTTTATTTCGGGGAAATATGCAACTTTTGACATTTTTATATGATATGTTGCTACTTCATTTACCTCTTCACTTCTGCCTTTTTCTGTTCAGTCTTGCCTGAATGATGACTAGGTTGATGCGTTATTAATGGTCATGAAATAAAAGTAATGTGGTTTCTATCTGGTTGCCCTTTTCTTTTTCAGGCAGAAATCCAGCTAAATCTTCCAAAAAGAAGAGGACATGGAGTCATATCTGTACTTTGTCCAAAATTCGGTGGGGTGAACGGTGAAGCACTGGATGTGGCAGCTAGGTGGAGTGGAGATGTTGTGAGTTCCTAAGTTCATTCTCTTAGGTTGAGAAGTGAAAGCAGGCAATGTGACTGAATGCATAGTGTATTTTTATGTGGAGTGGGTAACAATTACAACAAAAATAATTGGCTAATTTCTATAATTCTTTGAATCCTCTAATTGTTTTGTTAACCAAAGATATCTATAATATGTGACACATTCTCTCAAGTTGAAGCATGTATAAATCATACGCATTGAGCTAGATAAAACATAATCAATTATAGTACCCCTCAAAGACTTAGTGAAGTCGTTTGCTGATTGACTATTGAAGTTGGCAAAATTAGTCATTTCATTTTGTCAAATTCAATTTTAATGTAGTAAGAATGGCATTAACTTGTGGTTATGTTGCACTAGTATCTGAACTGCACATTGTGCTTTTTTTTTACTGATTGTCACTTGATGTTCTATTGTTCAGATCACAATTGAAAAAACTGTTTTGAAACAAAGCTACAGTTATTATGAAATACAAGGAGAATATGTATTACCTGGCACTCGAGATTGCCCTGTTGACATAAAAGGAGATGGAATTTTAGAAAGGTTTTTGTCTGAGCATGTTGGTAGTGTTATATCTTCAATGGGTAGGTGGAGAATGAAACTTGAAGTTCCCAGAGCTGAGGTTGCTGAGATGCTTCCTCTTGCAAGGTTTCTATCTCGAAGTATGGATCCTGCTGTTCTTTCAAGATCAAAGGTTGTATATTATGCTTTATAATATATGTCATTAATTGACAGATTCTAAGTCAGTTGATTTAGATACTTTGCTTCTGATTCAATCTTTGTAACATGTAACTTGGTTAATTCAGGAGTCAAGCTGCATGGTTTATTTGTTACTCTTGAAAACCATAGATTACAAAATATTCACATATAAAGGTTTCAAGTTGATTAGAATATACTTTGGCTTCTCTGCTTCACCGGCCCTAACCCACACCAAAAACATTATTTTTCCAGAAAATTGGTAGATATAAAGCTAGAGGAATCCAAATTCAATTTTAGGTTCTTCATGTTGTTGACTTGTTTGTTTATCTTGTGGATTGAATTCAAATCAAGCTCGAGTTTGTCAGTGGTATCTAATTTTTTCTTGTTGAAAAATTTTAAGTCCTTTGAACTTTTTTCCTTGACCTGATAACAAAATATCTCTATTGATTAAAAAATGAATGTTGTTGAAAGGAGTAGTGACAAAATAGGTGACAATTGTACCATTTTGGTGCCATGTTCAGAAGGGAGAAACTGAGGAGTGTAATGAAGGGATACACACATGTATGTTCTAATTTATCATGAAGGGAGACAATAATAAGGAACAATCAATATGTATTTATGAGAAATATTTGGTTAGATATTTCTCTATCAAATCATATCATATCGTATACCTATTTAATGTAATCAAATCATCTCTTACACTCCACTCCCCTTGAGCCAAAGCATAGATTTGTTTCAAATGTCATCAACACAAAGTGGTTTGCGTCTAACAAGTGCAAACCTCATCATATATATGACAATTTTGTAAGGTTAAATTAGACTTAAACTACTTTAGTCAATGTGGAACTTGGGTTAGTGGGGTTAGTTCAGTTCAATCCATATTTAAGAAGTTATTTGATATGACATTTTTAAATCGGATAAAATTTTGGAGAAGTTATTGAAAAACAAAAAGAAACTTGTTCTAAATAGTTTTACTGAAAATTTAATTTTTGATAACCATTAGCATTAAGTATGCCATGTAGCCAACCCAGTTGAGTGGTGTAAGGCGTGGCTATTATTGTTGTTACTGATGCAGTAATGTTGCTAGGACTTTCTTTTCAGTGAGTATTGTAAGTAGTTGAACCCGTTCAGTTAGGATACCAATTCATTGTTGCAATATTGTATTGCTGAAACCTTTGTATGTGAAGTACTGGTTTTTGGAGGTTTAGTGTCATCATATTGTTATTAATTTCAAGAACTAGATGATGGAAGCCAAAATTAAATCTATTTACTTTACTGGACTTAAAGAAAGTAAACCCAAAAGTAAGAAAATGCATACCTAATTCAACTTAGTCATCAAGAATACACTATAGGATTGAAGAACCCCGAGTATATAAGTACTATATCACTATGCTTCTGTTTCTAATCAGCCTCTGTTTTGTTATAATTGTAAATTAGTAGAGCACTCAGGTTCAATAACATATTTGAACTACGTTTTTTCCCTGTAATTGTATGTTATATATATTTTCAGGTATGCATCTGCTGAACACTTTAATGATTGTCAGTCACCCATTACATATCTAGACTTTGTGAAAGATTATATTTTATTGCTTGTCATCTCAAAACCTGCTGTCCATACTGTATACTTATATTTTAAGAAATAGAATTCTGATTGTGCATGTTACAATGTCCCTTGTAGGATCTTTTTATTCAAAGTTTACAGTCAACAGGATTATATTCTATGAGCACACAAGAACTGCTTGAGGTATCATCGAACAATCATTATGTTGTATTTTATTTTCAAAGGGCACAATGCTTCATGCATCCAAGTTTGTATTACCAACATGAAGGGCACATGTAATGTTTATTTATTGAGGACAGAACTTAGATGTACTTCTTCAGGTGCTTTTGGAGCTATTTTTCAATCCAAATTTGGGTTTTACCTCGGTAATCTATGTATTAAAAGTTTGGAACAAACTTCAATATAAATTACTGAGATAAAACGCCAATTCTAGTTAAAGAATAACACCAAAAGCTCCTAAATTGTATCTAAGTTTTGTACATATTGATTCATAATATTCATGATCCAAATGGCTTTCACTGCAAAATTTGATTTTTTTTTTGTCATTAATGACATTTAACTTGCAGTTAATAAGGGAGCTTCATGTTCCGTTGAATGATGTTGTTGAGCATTTCAGCCTTCCTGGTTTACTTGACCTCAAAGGTTGCTGGCATGGTTCCCTCAATGCCAGTGGTGGAGGGAATGGAGACACCCTTGTAAAAATTTATTTGTTTTTGCATATTGGGAGTTTTGCAAAATCTTCTACTTTTTGAAGATTGCCTTTCTATTCCATTTCAGGCAGAATTTGACTTTCATGGTGAGGATTGGGAGTGGGGAGAATACAGAACTCAGAGTGTCTCAGCAGTTGGTATTTATAGTAACGATGATGGTATACACCTGAAGAAATTTTTTGTCCAGAAGGATAATGCCACAATTCATGCTGATGGAATTTTCTTAGGACCTAAAACCAACCTTCATTTTGCTGTCTTAAATTTTCCTGTTAGTCTGATACCAACACTTGTACAGATCATTGACTCTACAGCAAATAGTGTTGTTCATTCTCTGCGGCAATTGTTAGCACCCATTAAGGGGATCTTGCATATGGAAGGAGACCTTCGAGGAAGTATAGGAAAACCAGAATGTGATGTTCAAATTAGGCTCCTTGATGGTATCATTGGTGGAATTGTTCTTGATCGAGCAGAACTTGTTGCCTCTCTAACCCCAACTAGTCGTTTTCTATTCAATGCCAAATTTGAACCTTTGATCCGAAATGGTCATGTACTAATTCAAGGATCTATTCCTGTTAATTTTTTTCAATGTAAAATGTTACAAAAAGATGTAGAATTAGATAAGAGTAGAGATACTTGGGTTCCTGAATGGATGAAAAAGAACATAGGGACCACAACCACCAACCATGCGAGAAACAAAAAGGTTTCTAGGCAAAGAAATGAAAAGGATTGGAATACTCTATTAGTAGAAAACCTTAAAGGTTTGAATTGGCAAACTTTAGATGTTAGGGAAGTCATGGTTGATGTTGATATCAAAGATGGGGGAATGAAGCTGGTAACAGCTTTAACTCCTTATGCCGACTGGCTTCATGGCAATGCTGATATCATGCTTGAGGTGGGTGCGGTAAATAATTTTTTTTCAAATAATTATTTGTATTTCTCTAAAGTTTTGACTAATCATTTGACCTAACAGGCCAGAGGTACAGTTGATCAACCGGTGCTTAATGGATATGCATCTTTCCGTAGGGCAACTATATCTTCACCTGTGTTCCGAAATTCACTGACCAACTTAGGTGGAACTGTGCACATGAAATCAAACAGGTTATCCATCACCTCACTGGAGAGTAGGCTAGGTAGAAAGGGAAAGCTACTAGTGAAAGGGAACCTTCCTCTAAGAACTAAGGAAGCAGCCCTTGATGACAAGATAGAGTTTAAGTGTGAAGTTCTAGAAGTGCAGGCAAAAAATATTTTAAGGTTGCTTCTTTAACTTATGGCACTAGCGATCTAAATTGTCTTGACTTATTAATGGATGCATCTAGCTGATGTGATCATTAAATCTCAAATATAATAGAATTTTGATAATGTAACTTTTATTTTGTTGTATGTTATTTGCTTATATGATTTTTATTTGAAAAACGTACTTTGTCAGTGGTCAGCTCAACTCCCAGGTGCAAATAACTGGTTCCATATTGCAACCTAACATTTCTGGAAATATTAAACTTAGTCATGGAGAAGTATATTTGCCACATGATAGGGGTGGTGCTTCTACTAATAGATTCCGATCATATCAATCTGCACTTCCCAGTGGCGGCATTGATAAATCATTTGCTTCAAGATATATTCCACGGTATTTTGGCTCAGAATCTGCTTCTCCAATGGCCAAGATTTCTCAGACTTCCGGCTCTGGTAATACTTTACATGCTTGTTGGCTTAGCATGTAGTCTCTACCATTTCCTTATAATAATTCTCTAAATCAGAATGGACTTGCCTATTATTGCAAATGTATCACTCTCATGCCTCTTTCTATAACATTATAGTTGACTTTGGATTTCTGCACTGTTACATAATCTAATGACTGCATTTATTAAATCTAAATCATGCATATTCTTTTTTTCTCAAATTATTTTGTTGCTGCCAACTATGTGAAGTTAGTATTGTGAATTTGTGATCAATGTAACTAAACAAACACTAGTGAAGCACCACCAAGAAGCTAAGACCATTCTATCCCAGATTAGCAACGTTGGCAAGAAGCTGTCCTCTCTTCTATTGATTTTTCTCCAACCAAAGGCACTGAATTTCTTCATACGTAGCACATTTTGAACAAATTATTAGTATTAGCTCTGCCGATTATTGCAGCTGTCCTCCCTCAATATTCTCACACAGTTGAAATCAGTTTATGCATCTTAACTTTTTCATAAACTTTCTCTTCTAANTTAGCATGTAGTCTCTACCATTTCCTTATAATAATTCTCTAAATCAGAATGGACTTGCCTATTATTGCAAATGTATCACTCTCATGCCTCTTTCTATAACATTATAGTTGACTTTGGATTTCTGCACTGTTACATAATCTAATGACTGCATTTATTAAATCTAAATCATGCATATTCTTTTTTTCTCAAATTATTTTGTTGCTGCCAACTATGTGAAGTTAGTATTGTGAATTTGTGATCAATGTAACTAAACAAACACTAGTGAAGCACCACCAAGAAGCTAAGACCATTCTATCCCAGATTAGCAACGTTGGCAAGAAGCTGTCCTCTCTTCTATTGATTTTTCTCCAACCAAAGGCACTGAATTTCTTCATACGTAGCACATTTTGAACAAATTATTAGTATTAGCTCTGCCGATTATTGCAGATGTCCTCCCTCAATATTCTCACACAGTTGAAATCAGTTTATGCATCTTAACTTTTTCATAAACTTTCTCTTCTAACTTTTCCATAAGCACTCACAAACTTAATTGAACTTGAATATAACTACAGGGTTTACAAGTTAATTTGCTGACTATTTTTTTGCTATGCTGTGTAGTTCATGATGCATTTGGAGATGCCAAGATCAATCATTTATGCAAGATAAAAGAGAACAAAATCAAGATTAAAAAATAATCAATCATAGTAAACACCCTATCTTATACTCTAACATATAATATCCTAAAAACATCTAACTCATCACAAATTGATTGCTTTGTCTATACATGTGCTTGTGTTATTTGAAAAATTAATCAAGTTCACTGTGTGTTATTTTTAAGATTGGTTACTTTTTTTGGGTTATGATGATATTTTCCCTTGAAAAAAAACACACGGAAGTCAATGAATCAATTCAGGTGGAAAAGGATACGGAGGAACTGCAGATAAAACCAAATATAGGAATCTGCCTTTCTGATTTGAAGCTTGTGCTTGGACCAGAGCTGAAGATAGTTTATCCTTTGATTCTTAATTTTGCTGTTAGTGGAGAGATTGAGTTGAATGGTCTTGCCCATCCCAAATGTGTAAAACCTAAGGGCAAGCTGGTATTTGAGAATGGTGAAGTTGATCTGGTTGCAACACAGGTTTGTGTGATGTTTAATTTCGCAACTTTTATGAACTGTAACCTGCAGTTTCTTCCAGACTAGTTTTGTCTCAGTTTCTTCCCTTACTTTATGGACTCAATTGTTTAGGTTGATAAAATTCATTTGAATGCAGGTGAGGTTAAAACGGGAGCATCTCAACATTGCAAGGTTTGAACCTGATTATGGACTAGATCCAATGCTAGATTTAACCTTGGTTGGTGCTGAGAGGCAATATAGAATTCATCGTCGAGCTAGCAATTGGCAAGACTTTATTGAACAGGATACACTATCACCAATTGAGGTAGATGATAGTGCTCTCTGTCATCTTGTATTAACACATGCAGTAAATCAATTACGAATTTACAAGCATTGTCAATGGCAACACAAAAATTCACTCATCTCACAATGATTAATAAAAAGAATGAAATATCATAATTGTATGAGCCAATTTAGTTATTTTGTGACCAGTTCACTAACTAAGCATTATCAATTAAGAGTTATAAATTGTAATTATATTTGAAGCTTGAGGTCCCATATCCTCCTTATTGGGTTTAGGATTCAGAATCAACTCGTCCATGTTGGTTTTGGAACAGACCCTTGAGTTGATTAAGCTAAAAAATTTCCAGTTGAACTGTCACGAGTTACATTGATTGAGGACCACTGTGTGAACAATAACATTCACTTTCACAGCAAATCTCCATGTGCTGCTAGATCCCAAAGCTTCTCTAATTAATTTAAGTTTTCAAGTTGGTTTATAGTTTCATCTGTGAAAGATCAATACTCATGATCTTTCTTTCTAGCATTTCACAGCAAATCTCCATGTGCTGCCAGATCCCAAATCTTCTCTAATTAAATTAAGTTTTCAAGTTGGTTAATAGTTTTTTCATCTGTGAAAGATCAATACTCATGATCTTTCTTTCTAGCAGCATGGTCTTGTTAATTGTTTCAACCCATGCAGGTTGCCAGAAGACTTGATAGCCAGTTAGCAGAATCCATTTTGGAAAGCAATGGTCAACTTGCCTTTGACAAACTTGCAACTGCTACTCTTGAAAAACTAATGCCACGAATAGAAGGCAAGGGAGAGTTTGGCCAGGCTAAGTTGAAGTGGGTTTATGCCCCTCAGATTCCTACTATACTTTCTGGTGCTACAGTTGATCCTTTCACGTTACTTGCTGATAATTTAACATTTGGTACTGACGTAGAAGTCCAGCTTGGGAAACGTCTTCAGGTAGTTATAATCAAATTACTTCATATTTCAAATCATTGCTTTCCAAGAACTGGATTTATTCTTGTTTCAGCCAAATTCTCTTGTCAATAAATCCATATCAGTGGAGGGAAATTGTTAGTTGTAGTACTTCTTTATTAATAAAGCAACAAATGGCAAACTTTATTTTGAACTTTTTAGATATTGTTAGTCACAATATCTTATATTTATCATATTTATGTGTATTTGCCATATTTCCCTGAATTACTCTTCATTATAATATAGTATTCGGTCTATTTTCTACACAGGGGGAATTACTCCTATGCCTAATTTTCACTATATTTAACAGAACTGATAGTTAAAATTTAATGGATAAGAACAAATAATGTATATATTAAAACACAAATATATAGTATAATTTCTGTGCTCTGTCTAATATATTATCAATCAGTAAAAAGTATGATAGGTGTTGTAAAACAGTAGTAGGATGCTGGAATTAATTATTCTCTCATTCATACTTTTGAAACAATACATAAGTGTTTAAAAAGAAACAAACTATTGTCTAATTAAGGTAAAAAATCTCCTGAAATAAAGTCTCTAAATCAGGAGATATCTACCCAATAATACCTGATCTTAATAAAAGGAAATCTGCCCAATAATTACTAATCCTAATCCCTTAATTTTAGGGATTAGACATAATTGCAGGATTACACATAATTGCTATATTAATTGCACAATAATTCACATATTCTGACACCCCCCCTCAAGCTGAGGAATAGATATTGGTCATTCCCAGTTTGCTTATAAGATCTTGGAAGATAGGGCTATTGAGACCTTTTGTTAACACATCAGCTACTTGTTGCCTGGATGGGACATACGCCATGCATAATAGACCTTCGTCTACTTTTTCTTTGATGAAGTGTCTATCTATTTCAACGTGTTTTGTCCGGTCATGTTGAACCGGATTATGTGCAATTTCTATTGCTGATTTATTATCACAGTACAGTTTCATGGGACCCTTCAAATCAACTTTCAAATCATCCAGAATAATTTTTATCCATAATAATTCACATATTCCTTGAGCAAGTGCTCTGAACTCTGATTCAGCTGATGATCTAGACACTACATTCTGTTTTTTACTTCTCCAAGTTACTAAATTTCCACCCAGGAAAGTACAATATCCAGTAGTCGATCTTCTATCAATTAGAGATCCTGCATAGTCTGCGTCGGTGTAGGCTTCAAGGTTCAATTTTTCATTCTTCTTGAATAGGATTCCCTTTCCAGGAGTGCCTTTTAAGTAATGTAGAATCCTATAGGCAGCTTGAAGGTGAGACTCCTTTGGTTCATGCATAAACTGACTTATTACACTTACCGAATGGGCAATATCTGGTCGGGTATGCGCCAAATATATTAATTTTCCAACCAGCCTCTGGTACATCCTTTTTTCTACTTCTGGTTCATCTCCAGATTTACTCAGTTTGTGATTGGGGTCCATTGGAGTTGTTGCGGGTCTGCATCCAATAGTCTTCGTCTCAGCCAACAAATCGGTTATGTATTTTTGTTGGGATATAAAAATTCCTTGGGTAGAGTATGCTACTTCAATTCCTAGAAAATATTTCAGTTTTCCAAGCTCTTTGAGATCAAATTCTTGGACTAGTCTTTGTTTCAATTTTTCCTTTTCTTTTTCATCATTCCCAGTTACTATAATATCATCCACATACACCAAAAGAACTGTTACCTTCCCCTTTTCTGAATGTTTTATGAACAACGTGTGGTCTCCTTGGCTTTGTTTGTAGCCAAATCCCTTCATAACTTTTGAGAACCTCCCAAACCATGCTCTAGGAGATTGTTTCAGTCCATATAGTGCCTTCTTAAGTCTGCACACCTTATTTTGTCTATCTCCTTCAACCCCCTGTGGGATGTTCATGTAGATTTCTTCCTCTAGGTCTCCATGAAGAAAGGCATTTTTAACATCATACTGTAGTAGTTTCCAATCAAAATGAGCAGCTAAGGATAGAAGAATCCTTAGAGTATTCATTTTAGCAACTGGTGCAAACGTTTCTTCATAGTCTATTCCATATGCTTGAGTGTATCCTTTGGCCACCAATCTTGCTTTGTATCGTTCAAGTGACCCATCAGCATTATATTTTACTGTGAATATCCACTTACAGTCAACAATATTCTTTTCTTTGGGTTTATCCACAATTTCCCAAGTGTTATTCTTCTCTAATGCTGTCATTTCCACTTGCATAGCATCTCTCCACTCTTTCTTTGCTAGTGCTTCAATAATATTATTTGGTATAACCACAGAATTCAAGTTTACAATAAAGCTTTTATGATTAGCTGATAATCTATCATAAGAAACATAATTTGAGAGAGGATAGAGAGGTTTTTTAGTGCAATTTCTAGTACCTTTTCGGATGGCTATTGGAAGGTCAATCTCATTTTCTGGTTCAGGTATTTCTTCATTTTCTGGTGCAGAACTTGGATTGGATTCATGGACTTGCATCATCTCTGGAATTTGCTTTCTCCTGGTGTAAACCTTGTTAAATCTCGGAGGATTGTCAGCTTCTATTCGAGTTGCTTCAATGGGGAAATCTGTATCCATAGCTTCTGATCCTCGTTCAGAATTATGTTGTATAGTTGGAGGCTCAGATCTGTTGGTTGTGATATATGGCAGAGTTAAGAACTCAGTATTTTCATGAGGGTCTTCTAGACATTGTTCTGTAGGATTGGTTTTGTTAAAAAAAGGTTTAGTTTCAAGAAAAGTAACATCAGCTGAGATATACCATTTTTTAATGATAGGATCATAACATTTATACCCTTTTTGTGTGGCTGAATATCCTAAAAAAATACATTTAACAGCCCTGGGATCCAGTTTATCTCTAGCTTGAACAGGGACATGTGCAAAGGCTGTACATCCAAATATTCTAGGAATCAATCCATTTGATTTCTTAAAGTGAGGAAAGAAATTATTTAGGACTTCTATTGGACTCTTATTACTTAGGCCATGAGAGGGAAGTCTATTAATAAGATATGATGCAGTAAGAACAGCTTCTCCCCAATAATTTTTTGGAACATTCCCTTGAAAAAGAAGAGCCCGAGTTATATTGAGTAAATGCCCATTTTTTCTTTCTGCCACTCCATTTTGTTGTGGGGTATAAACACATGAAGAGTCATGGATGATCCCATTAGATTGGAAATACGAGGATATGGTTTGGTTGAAATAATCTCTAGCATTATCGGTCCTAAACCTTTTAATATTAACTCCAAATTGAGTTGTGATCATTGAGTGAAATATGGGAATGATAGTGCTGACATCAGATTTTTGTTTAAGCAAATAGAGCCAAGTAACCCTAGTGCAATCATCAATAAATGTTACAAACCAGCGGGCCCCAGAAATATTTGGTACTGTAGACGGTCCCCATATATCACTATGAATCAATTGAAAAGGTTGAGAGCTTCTATTATTGCTGTTGGGAAAAAAAGCACGAGTATGCTTCGCTAACTCACAAGTTTCACAATGAAGCTTTGAGATATCTAAGTTTTCATACAAATGAGGAAACATAAATTGTAGCACCTTAAATGATGGATGTCCTAGACGATAGTGATACAACCATAGTTCATCCTTATTTGTTATACTGTGAAGGGATTTTGCTTGGTTGGTTTGGGATTCTTTAGATACTTCCAAGTAGTAAAGACCATCTTTTTCTTTAGCAAGTCCAATCCTCCTCCCCGAGTCCTGTTCCTGAAAAACACATAGAGATGGGGAAAACATTGCAGAACAATTGAGATCAGAGGTTAGTTTCTTTATGGAGAGAAGACTGGCTGAGAGTTTGGGAACATGGAGAACGTTTTTAAGCATAAGGTTCGGGTTTACTTGGATATTACCATATCCTGCAACAGTAGCTACTGACCCATTTGCAACAATAATTTTTCTATTACTTGGTGAGGGTGTATAAGAATGAAACAAGTGGAATAAATGTGTCATATGATCTGTAGCTCCCGAATCCACAATCCAAGAGTTCACATTATATGAGGTATTCATACAAGAAGTTTTACCTGAGAAAACAAGAGAACATGATCCAGAGGGTTCCTCCATATTCCCCAATAGCTTCTTCAATTTCTTTATTTCTTCCATATTGAAACTGTCTACTGCTGGAGATTCTTTAATCTCTGTTTGTGTTATGTGCACTTGGGACTTTTGTTGTCCTCCACGATTCACCCACTCCTTTCCTGGAGGTTTGCCATGCAATTTCCAACATTTCTNTTAGGCAAATGAAGGACTCACAGATGGCAATGGAATGGACCTTGACCTATCAACTAACAAGTCGCTTGCATCTGTGTCTAAAGCATGGCTCATCCAAATGCATTCTTTTTGAATATACTGCTACATCCCAGGACTAACTAACATCTGCACCTTCCTTGGGAAAATTAGTCTCTACCTTGGCAAATGCAGCAGCTTAAATACATTCCAATATCAAATTTACCTCATATGTTATGTTCATAGGTTGGGACTTTTGAGGGTACTTTGTATTTGTAGAAGTATTTTGCTAAGGTTGAGCTTGTTAAAGGGTAGCTGCTAATTTAAGTAATAGTATGTCCCACCTTAGTTTCTTTTTGTAAAGAAATTCAATTGATGAAGAAAGGCATAGACAATTAGAATGAGGAATGCAGTGTAAGAGGTTGTTTCTTTCAACCTCACGAGTAAAAAACCATCGTACCATTTCAGAGATTCGAGGCAAGTGTAACATTTTTCATGAAGAAAATTATAAAAAAAAAAAACAATTGTTTTCACATTTAATTTTTTTGACAAAATCTTAAGAGACTAATAATTATAACTTTTTTTCAAGTAAAAAAAAAAAGTTATCCAATTGATAAGTCTAAATTCGATTTTTTCTGCCCAACTATTTTAGGCATGTAAAAAATTGTAGTTTCTCCTGAATCCTCAAATGTGTAGGTCCTTGGATTGTGGACTAATGGTACTCAAGCATATCCTGTCAAAGATATTTGGAAAGTATTTTTTTTTTAAATTTCATTAGTTTAACAATTAATTGTTCGGGTTAAATTGAAACTAATTAATTCTGATTATTTATCTTTAGTTTCAATCATTCCTTTACTTTTATTGTTTCAATTTATTATAAATTCTAAACTACCAAACAGGCGAAGAATACAAAATATAACCGATTCCTTCTTTTTATACTAGTAAATTTCAGAACTTTTATTACGACTTAGTATTACGAAACATTACTTATGAAAAGTCTTGTTGATATTTTAGGTGAATAACAATTAACCTAAAAAGTGCTAAATATGAAATTGAGACGGATTAAATGATAAGACAATTGCTTTTCCCTAAAAAGTTCACATAATATTACAACAGTTTACAGAATATATATATATATATATATATATATATATATATATATATATAGTAACACAATCAGTTAAAATTAAGATTTTAAAACCTCTGTTTTATTATCTAAATGGGATTGCTAAATAAACGATGTTAAAGTACATTTAGGAATGATAAAAAAGAATAGAAAAAACAGAAATAGAAGGCCTCATGTTCTGCTCATCTCTTTCAGAGAATCTATTTCAATTTGCCTTTTTGGACCAACAATTAAATGAAACATAATTTTCATGCCTAAAAAATCACATGAATACGATAAAATAAAAGGAGTTTTCACCAAAATCTCCAGGGATCTTTGTAGGGAGGAACATAATTTTCCGTTGGACTAAGGAGACGAAATGAACCCACTGCCTTTTCAAGGAAAGGCCCCAGCTGCATTAAATATATTCTATGGTTAGAGCTACACAAAAGATAAATTGCTTTAAGAATTGTAGTAATACTTTGGGCCATTTTGAATAAACTACTCCACAAATAAAATGAGTCATAAAAGTAACATGTATCAAACTTCTTGCCCAAATCACAACTTGGTTCTGATCTCTTTAAGAATTCCTCTGGTAAATTAGAAATCAGAGACTGGTCTTCAAAAGGTGAAAGCTAATAAAAAAGGAACTTTAAGTTTAATTACTACCAGAAAATTATGGAACAGAAGATTTCATATGCATGCATTTAGGTAAAATCAAACCATTTGCATTCTTTTTACCTCTTTTAAACATACTGTTTCTTTTTTTCTAAAAAGAAAACCTTGACATTAATTCTCAGGTTGTATAATCACCTTTGATGGATGAAAAGGAAAAAGTCTGACATGTTCTCAGTCAGACCATTGTCAACTTAAAGAATTAGACATGCTTGATCATTTGACTGAGGCAGTGCAAGAAAAGTTCATTTTATACTGCTTTTATAAAATGTTGAATCTAATTCTGTTTTTATACTGCTTCTACAGGTTCTCATATATCATTTGAATCAATGAACATAAACATACACCAAGACAACAAAAGAGAGTAAGAGAGAGAGAGAGTACCTTTTCCCACCGTGGGCTGATGGTTGAAGCACTGATAGAGTACAAATAACCTGCAAGCAAGTGCTTAGTAGAAAAAGAAGAGAAGTTTTGAAATGCAACACCAAAAGAAAGATATAACTTGAAAACCTTAAAAAGAGAACAAAGAAAAACAACGGCATGTGAATTAGCTAATTGGTAATCCCATAAAAATATAATAAAGAGATATTTCATTTTATCTTGTTTTGTTTTAAGCCTCCATGGTAAGCCGAAACAAGTGTGGCTCTAATTGAATGAGAAATAGAAAATAGAACAAAATCATTTAAAAAGTAGCTTCGAAGCACTTTGTATGAATATACAGAGGACAGTCTCATATTAGATACACCAAGTTAGAAATAATCTATACCAATGAAATAAAATAGAAGATATACCATCTCTTTCAGCTGTTGAAGCAAGATAATGCCGGTAAGTGTTTGATTCATCAGTCTGTACAAGCAGGGTTTATAAATCAAAAGTCATTACACATACCACATCTTTCCATGAAAAAAAACTTCTATCAAAAGGCAGTACTTACTAGTCTCAAAGGTGCTTTACGAACAAGGTATTCATAATACCAGTACTTCTCACCATCAATCTGAGGAGAAGCAAATAAGCTCACTATGCATAAACTTCAACCTAATATATATATATATAGGGAGAGAGAGAGATCAAATATTGGAAACAAAGAAATAAAGATTGTTTTATGACGCTTACTTCACTAGAATGGGTATTGAGAACCGAACTCTCTTCTAAACGCTGAGTTGACGTAACTCGCTGCAAAATCTTGTTATCAGAATATGCAGCAGAGGTAAACTGTATTTTAACATCTTGGAGCACCATTTCTCGTTTGTAGTCAGTGAAAATCCTCAAAACAGAGAAGATTAATTTAATTTATAACAAAGTGTTTTACATACCATCCAACATTTATGACCATATACAACTCCCTGACTTCCAGGTAGGGATAATCCCTATTAACTGGTGAATGATAAATCTCTGAATTTTAATCAATACTCAGAACATTAGTAGTGGCATCTTGTGGTTTGAAATTATTCAAGAAGATTACAATTTTTTGTTTCTAATAAGAATAGTGTTAACACAAAAGCCTTTATTAACAAAGGAGTGGCCAGTTACCAGTGAAGATCTGTCAGCTAACACTGAATCAGCAACATCTTTTGCAGTCCATGTACTCTTATCCTTTGATTTTATATAGCTTGCATTTGGTGGACCTATCTGAATTTAGTATAAAAAACATGAATAGATAACTAAAACTCCTTCAAACAAGTATTAGGTTGAGAGAATACCGTGACAGAAATGATGACATTATCAATAAAGTCTACACGCTCGGACACAATGCGCAGGCGTGCATCAGCTACATGAAATTACACAGAAATTTTTATCCATAAAAGGAAAATTATGAAGCAAGCATCCAGTATCTTTATGCACAAGATCAATATTCACTAGTGAAAATTTCTACCATTCAAACACTTTAATCACAGAGCTGGTGGCAGTTGTTTTGTAACAAGCTCACAATGAAACATGACCTCTATCCTGAATTATTTGATGAGAGATTTTTGCCTAGCAAAGGAAAAGAGAAACTTACGAGAAAGTGGTGCAGCTGATGAATATCGCTCTGGCTTTCGGGATTCTACCCTTTAAATATATGGAAAGAGTTAGCTTATATAATGATTAAGGAAAAATTCCAGACAACTAGTGGAGATGTAAGCCAAATATAGGAATCTTAGATGCACTAGCACTAAGTTCTATCGGATCAAGTTCACTGAACAAATTAATGTCTTACTGACATTATTAAATGTAGTAAAAAACATTAGATAAAGTTGGAAGTTGAAACTACCCTTATCATTTTGCTTACTATAAATAAAGATATATATAAAATATGAGAAGTGCTTGTAACATATTTTCTAACACAACTTCTAACACACTTCTACAGAAAAGTATAAAATCGTAAGATTCCCTAAATAATATGTAAGACTCGCATTTTTTTGTGATTTCTAATTCTAATAAATTGTAGTGAATAGTAGTATGTTGAAAAGAGTGTTGCTAGCATTCTCATAACATGCATTTACTTGGCATACCATTTGAGGGAAATATTGTTGGAAGGCGACTCAACAGGGTACAGATAAGAATAGGCGTTTATTTCATCTAAAAACGAAGCCATTGTGGGCTCTTCTTCAGCAAGAGCCACTGCAAGACATAAAGAACAATGATAAAGCAAATGTGACTCAGTTGCATCACATAATAAAACACATGTCAAATGAAATCACACTAGTTCTCATAATCTCATCAAGCAGAAAATTCTCAGAGAGAATGCAAGAGAGGTACCTGAAAGTGGCCATCTTAGAGAAACCGAAGTCAAGCCTAACAACACCAAATCCCTTCTAAAAACCCTGTTTTGCGAAGTGGGTTTTAGAGCACAACATGAAAAACGTAGTCTTTCCTTTGATAATGGGAAATTGTGTGGGTTAAAGATAGCCCTGTTGTTGTTTCTGATTAACAAAAGCAAATGGGTTTAGAAAAAAGAGAGCAAATATGAACATAAACTAAAATTATTGAAAAGGGTTATGCAGAAGAACCTGAAGATAAGGTTATTAGGAAGAAGTGTAGAAGTGGGCAAGAAGAAGGAAAGGGAGAGAGAAGAAGAAGGTAAAACCATTGGTAGCTCTCAGTTGTGTCATCCACCACCACACTGTAACATTATCTCACTTTCAACACTTCCCTTTTATTACAACTTTTTTCTTCTGACATGTTCTTAGCAACACACGGGGAAATAGTTCACAGTAATATTTATCAGATACTATTATTTAATTTAGTTTGCATTTTTTTTTAAAATAGTGATAAAAATCAATTTAAATTATTATTTTTTCATTGTTTAACTTTATATCAACGTTTGGATACAAATGCTTTTGCCATAAATATTTGGTTTAATAGGTTCGGAAGTCCTTATATTTGTGGGTTCGTTTCAATTGGGTCCTCCAATTTTGAAAGTGATCAATTTGGTCCCTAATTTAACAAAATTGAGTCAATAATACCCTTTCCGTTAAATGTAATGGACGGCGTTAACTTTTTAAACATGTAGCATGTTGAGGCATCCTTTTATTTGCAGGTTGCATAGTTTTATTTGAAGGATGCTTCAACATACCACATGTTTAAAACGTTAATGCCGTCCATTGCATTTAACGGAAAGGGTATTATTGACTCAATTTTGTTAAATTAGGGACCAAATTGATCACTTTCAAAATTGGAGGACCCAATTGAAACGAACCCACAAATATAGGGACCTCCGAACCTATTAAACCTAATATTTATGGCAAAAGCATTTGTATCCAAACGTTGATATAAAGTTAAACAATGAAAAAATAATAATTTAAATTGATTTTTATCACTATTT